AATGAACAACTGCAGCACCACAGCCCCCAAAATTCCATCCAGTTCAGGACCACACGAGACGACCCAAGAGCTGTGCTTATATACTTTCATTATCCCCGCCCCCGTCTCCTGATTGGTTACGCCTGATATTCACAAGGGTGTAGAAACTGATCAATCTGATTTGTTACACAAAACAACCAATCACAGAGCGTAGATAAAGACCAATCAGAACACCTAGATAAAGACCAATCAGATTGCCTGGATAAAGACCAAGCAAATCGCCTTTTACTAGAACACACAGAGGTGTGTACCTTCTTCACTTTCTCTGGAACAGCACCTTATTGTCCCGGGAGCAATGTTGTGTACCTTCTTCAGGGAGAGGCCTTAAAGCACAGCTGGGTGTGTCCTCAAACCAAACAAAAATTCAACATAGAATAATGTTTAATCACCAAGCAATCCCACTCATCGAAAGATTACAAGCGTATGTCCATGGGACTTAAGCTATGCATCAATGGGCTGAGCACATACTTAGGATGCAGGAGACCTACTTTGATCACCAGCATCACATGGTCCCCTGAGCACTACTGGGGCTATCCCCAAAGCGCCGCCTGGTGTGAGTCAAAAACCCAACCCAGGGAGCTGAAGAGATAGTATGGCGGGTAGGGCATTTGCCTTGAACGCAGCCAACCCGGGTTCGATTCCCAGCATCCCATATGGTCCCCTGTGCATCGCCAGGTGTGACCCAAAAAAGCAACAAACAAACAAAAAAATACCCAAAAAAACCCAACCCAACCAAACAAGTTAAATATATGGCCAACCAAAAAATTGCATACTAGTATTCAAAGAAGTATTGTGTGGAGGGATGGGTATCTGATCATTGTATAATCGAAACCCAAGCACAAAAAATTGTAAATCTACAACTGTACCTCATGGTGTTTCACTAATAAAAAAAATTAAAGAAAAAGTAAAAAAAAATATTGTAATAGCAAAAAAAAGTGAAAATTAACCAAATGTCTATCAGTAGAAAGATAACAAATGTGGTATATCTATTATCTATACATGGAATATTACTCAGTCGTAGAAAAGAACAAAGCACTGATCCACGGTACAACATGCTAAAAATAATGATAAGTAAAAGAAGCTGGCTTCAAAGGTTCAGAGCTACATGATTACAGTTATATGAAATGTAAGTAGAAAAGCATGTATGCAATTTAAAACACATATAAAATGTAAATAGAAACTCAATTTTGAAAAAGAAATTCGAGGGATGCAGCGATAGCACAGCGGGTAGGGGCGTTTGCCTTGCATGTGGCCAATCCGGGTTCTATTCCCAGCATCCCATATGGTCCCCTGAGCACCGCCAGGAGTAATTCCTGAGTGCAGAGCCAGGAGTGACCTCTGTGCATTGCCGGGTGTGATCCAAAAAGAAAAAAAAAATTGAATAGCAAGGGCCTCGGGAGAGAGGAGTTTGCTTTTTAGAATGATAAAAATGGAATTTAGAAGAGATAGTGATAGTACTTTTATGAATGTAATAAAACCACTAAATTATATACTTGAATGAAATTTCATGTTCTGTGAGTTACATCTTTGCATGTGGGAGGCCCAGATTTGACCCATAGCAGCACCACATAACTCCCCACCCCCGGTGCACTACCCAAAGCACCACCCCTACCACTAGCCAGAAGTAGCCCCCAGTATTGCTGGATGTGACCCCCAAACAAACAAAAACACACACACACAAAAAAAAACTGTGCAGTTACACCTATTCCATTATGCATGTGAAGACAATGATAACAAGTTGCAGAAAATTACCCCAAATCCTAGGTCAGAATAGAACGGGAACAAAATTCAGATCCAGTGTTCTGGTTCCGTTGGTAGTTCTCCCATGCCAAAAGCCAAATTTCTTAGAATATGCCTGATTCAGCATTTCTTCTCTATATTATTTCACCCACTACTCTGAATTCTGGAGCGATAGCACAGCGGGTAGGGCGTTCGCCTTACAAGCGGCCAACATGGCCGACCCAAGTTCGATTCCTCCGCCCCTCTCGGAGAGCCCGGCAAGCTACCGAGAGTATTCGATATGCCAGACACAGTAACAACAAAGTCTCCAGACACAGTAACAACAAAGTCTCCAATGGAGACTTTACTGGGCCCGCTGGAGCAAATCGACGATCAACGGGAGGGCCTTTGCCTTTACCTTTTACTCTGAATTCAACTGTACAGCAGTCATTGTTGCAGTAAAGGATAAACAGCAGTCTTTTTTTAAAAAAAAAACTTTTTATTTTATAAAGCAGTTCACAATATTTGATTACATTTAATATTCAAACACTAATCACACCATCATTACACCTTTCTACCACCATATTTCAGATGTTTCCATCCCGAACCCCGATCCCTGCCCCAAAGCAGAACCAAAATAATATATTTTGTAATGTTTGTTATGAAAAACTGCTGAGATTGCTAAAAAAAGTATCTTTAGAAGAGTGTGAGGATTGTTGTATTTCACCCAGGGGCCATTAAACCCTTCTATAAGAGGTCACTAACATGTTAAAGGTTGACCTTGTGTGTGTGTATATATATATACATATGTAAAAATGTATATTTTCCTTTAAAATTGGTTGCCTCCTACTTTGAACCCTGTCAAATGTGGTGCAGTAATCCTGGAGTATGGGTAGAGTATGTGGTTTGAAGTATCACATGACTGCAAATGTAGCCACGTGGTCCAGGAATAGATAGATGCACTTGTGGGTGAAGCTCGGCCCGAGTGTGTGGGAGGGGCCATGAGCGTGGCAGCGGCTGAGTTGTGGAAGTTTTTGGCTGTGGGGGTTATTTCTAGAATTTTTGTTTTGTGTCAGGTGCTTTATATGAGTTCTCTCTTTTTTTTTTTTCTTTTGGGGGTCACACCCAGTGATGCTCAGGGGTTACTCCTTGCTCTGCACTCAGGAATTATTCCTGGCAGTGCTTGGGGGGGCATTTGGGATGCCATGGATCGAACCCGGGTCGGCAGCATGCAAGGCAAATGCCCTACCAGCTGTACTATCACTGTGACCCCTACATGTGTTATCTCTAATCCTTTACAACAAATCCGATAATTACAGAACATCAAAGTCAAGCACTTACCCAAACCCACAACCAGGAAGTGACAGAGCCCAAATGCAAATCCAGATTTTCTCACAATGATACTTAGATTCCCAAACTTTCCTGTGTATTCATTAATATTTATTGAATGCATCCAAAGTGCTAGGCAGTACTCTCAATTCCTCACATGGATTATCTAATTTAATCCTTGACAAAGTCTGAGATGAGAAGTATATATATCTCCATTTTACAATGGGGAGATCAAGGTACAGGGAGGAAAATGGTCATGCCTAGGGTCTCAGGGCTAGAAAATAGCAAAATCAGGATCTTAAAGGCTGCTCAGCTTCAGAACCTGTATCACGAAGCACTCACTGCATTTTAGAATTCTCAATTCCATCTCCAGTGGAAATCTAGTTGCTAGCAGAATATTCACACAGGTCACTTCTTTTGGGGTGCGGGCACATCTGGTCTACCAGCTCAGGGACTACTTCCAGCTTCTGGTCTGGCAGTGCTCAGGGGACCATGCAATTGTCAGAGATTGAATCATAGATTCTATCATGAAAAGCAAGTTCTCAATCTTTAGAGCTACATCCCTGGACAATTAATGTTTTGATTGCTTTTTTTTGGGGGGGGGTGGTACGAGGATAGGGATGGGATGAGGTGGGGGAAAAATGCTAGATCTGCAACCCAGACCTTACATGTGAGAAGCATGTGCTAATCTGTTGTGCCACATCCCTGGCAAGCACACATTACTTTAGGTGTGTTGGGGTATTTGACCCACACCTGGCTGTGCTCAGAGCCTGATCCTGGCTCTGTACTCTAAGATCACTCCTGGTGGGCTGTAAGGACCATGGGGTACCAGAGATTAATCCTGGATCAATTGCATGCACAACAGGCACCTTACTCACTGTACTATCTCTCTGCCCCAGCACACATATTTTTCAGAAAGCACAAATTACCCTCAGGATGTGACTCAGTGGTAGAACATTTGTCTTATATGTGTAAGGCCCTTGGTTTGATCCCTAGCACCAGAAAAAAGGAAAGAAAAAAAAAAGATAAACACACAAATTTGGGTTGGGGAAATAGCTTGGGCACATTCTCTAAGATGAATACCATTTTTTTTGTGAAAAAAAGAAATTTGGGGGCTGGAGCAATAGCACAGTGGGTAGAATGTTTGCCTTGCACACTGACAACCCGGGTTCGATTCCCAGCATCCCATATGGTCCCCTGAGCACCACCAGGAGTGATTCCTGAGTGCAAAGCCAGGAGTAACCACTGAACATCGCAGGGTGTGACCCACAAAGAAAAAAAAAAGAAATTTTGATTTTTTTTGGTCCTTTTTTGGATCACACCTGGTGGTGCCTTGGGGCTACTGCCAGCCAGAGATATTCTCGGGTGGAGAGGGTCGATCCCAGAGGTGCTTAGGGGACTAAACAGTGGTGGGGATGAAAATCATGCACTTCAATTCACTTCCCCCACCCCATCCTCCCGCCCCAGGCTAGGATAAGGAGGCGCTAGGAATAGAAGGAATACAATTATTATTATTATTATTATTATTTTTGTGTGTGGGGGGGGGGGTGTCACACCTGGAGATGCTCGGGTCTACTTCTGGCACGAAGGATTCACTCCTGGCCATATGGGATGCTGGGGATCAATGAAACCCCGGTCGGCAGCGTGCAAGGCAAGCTCCCTACCGCTGTGCCATCGCTCCGGCCCCTGTCGGACTCAGTTCTAATCAGAATCATTGAGGTGAAATCGCGTACCCAAGGGTCCTTTAATCCTTAAGTGTGATTTCCAGATTGGAGGGGAAATCCAAGAACTAGATTCATCAGCCGGGCTTTGCCACCCGCGGCCGCTAGTTGTCGCCCCGGACCCAGGTCCCTAAACCATAGACACCCGGGCGACTCGGTCGCCTAGAGAGGCTGCTTCCGCGCGCTCCCGAGCCTTCCTGGACCCTTGCTGCCAAGAGACGCGAAGCCGAGAGGAGATCTCACGAGAGTAAAAGTCAAAGTCTCGCGATTATTTATTTATTAATTTATTGCCTAGCGACCGAGCACCGACTGGGTTACGCGAAGTAGAAGCCCCGAAGTGGCCTGGTCTCAGATTGGAGTGAGACCCCAGCCTTCGCTGGGGTTCTTTCCATAGAGAGGAGACGGATCCAGAGGGGCTTCAGGTAATTCGAACTCGCCCTAGCGGAAAGAGCATCCCCCCCTCTCCTTCCCTCCCCCCAGCCTTCCCGTCTTGTGACAGTTGTTCCTTTGCCCCTTTGCTTCACGCCATCACCAACTGCGCGCCGGGGTTGCAGCATGAGGGGGATGCTCTCCCCGGATGGAATCTAGAAACTGGAATTCACCTTCTTTTTAGAGACACCCTCTTTTCCCCTAGGAACCCCAGAGACAGACTTTCTGGAGCTTCTGCTGCAGCTTCTTTTGAGAAACCCCGACAGCCTTGGGAAAAGTTCTTTTCCCCAAAGCCGTGTCTTCTAGTTTGGGGGAGCTGCTGCAGCAGAAGTTGGCGGTTGTTTCCCTCCAGGATCCCCTGGTTCCCCAGCCAGCCTGCCAACGGTTCCTAACTCAGGGCTGCAGTACAGTGACTTAGAGAACCGCTTACCCTGCAGGCAGGAAGCATTAAAGGAAGTTTAAACGGGGTTTTCGGAGAGCCCGGCAAGCTACCGAGAGTATTCGATATGCCAAACACAGTAACAACAAAGTCTCCAATGGAGACGTTACTGGGCCCGCTCGAGCAAAATCGACGATCAATGGGAAGGCCTTTACCTTTACCTTTTACCTTTAAACGGGGTTTGAAGGTTTCCGGTGTCTTGGATCTGGAGGAGGAACCAAAGCTGGCACAAATCACAGCCTGCAGTGCTGCTTGTAATCATGGCTCCTGTTTTTTAGACCAAGGTTGTTGAAAACCAGACATATGATGAGCGTCTAGAGATTAATGACTCTGAAGAGGTTGCAAGTATTTATACTCCAACCCCAAGACACAAAGGTAAGAGAAGGAAGGAGAGAAGATTCTCAGAACAAAGAGTGATTTGTGGTAGGCTCCAAGAAGTTCTTTTTTTTTTTTTTTTTTTTGCTTTTAGGGTCACACCTGGCAATGCACAGGGGTTACTCCTGGCTCTGCACTCAGGAATTAACCCTGGCGGTGCTCAGGGGACCATATGGGATGCTGGGAATCGAACCCGGGTTGACCGCGTTTAAGGCAAATGCCCTACTCGCTGTGCTATTGCTCCAGTCCCAAGAAGTTCTTGTTTTAATCAGAACTTAACTTGCTACTGTTTATATTTTCTATTTTTTTTTTGATCGGGGTGGAGGCCACACCTGGCAATGCTCAGGCCTGGCTCTGTGTTCAGAGATCAGTCCTGGTGGGGTTGCCAGGAATCAAACCCGGGTCAGTCTTGTGCAAGGCAAGCACCTGACCCACTGTGCTATCTCTCTGATCTCAGTATTAAATCTTGAATTAACAAGAAGCCATGATTAGAATTTAGTCTCCTTTAGAATGTTCTTATAAAACTTATTCCCTCAAATGATTAGAGCGGACAGTACTATAGAACTGAAAAGAATTTGTTCCTAAAAGTCATTTTGATAATAACCTAAAAAAAAACTTTTCTTTGAAGGAATTCCTCATTCTGCTCATCTTACCAACAAGACTATGGCTGACAACAACAATGATGAGTTAGCAGAGGAAAATAACAAGGTGTGTGTGTGCGTATCAAAATTTGGCTTTTGAGAGTTTGGGGGTCAGTCTGCATTCACGTGGATTAGCAGTAAATGTTTCCTGACTCCTCACCTCCAGTGGGTATCTGGCTTGGGTTCAATCCCCAGCATCCCGTAGGGTCTCCCGAGTCCCTCGAGTGAATCCCGAGCACTGAGCCAGGAGTAAGCTCTGAGCACAGCGCAAAACAAAACAAAACCAGAAAGAAAAACCACCACTTAATCTCAATAGAAGTCATATAATTTAGGGAAAACAAGCCCTCCCAACCTTCTTTCATTATTTATTTTATTGTTTTGATTTGGTTTGATTTGGGGGTCCAAATCTAGCAGTGCTCAGGGCTTACTTCTGGCTCTGTGCTCAGTGATTACTCCTGGCAGTGCTTGGGGGGACCATATGTCGTGCCGGGGATCCAACCCAGGTCAGGTATGTGCAAGACCTTACATCTGTACTGTTGCTTTGGCCTTCAAAACAACTTTTAGGGGGTATGGTGCTGCCAGCAGGTCAGTCTGTACCTGTGAGGCGAGTGCATCAGCAGCCTGATGGTGCCTTCTGACTTCCAGATACCCCATAATTGCTGCTGTGCTTTTGGCCAAACCCCAAAAACTTGGGGCAAAGTTTACCAAGAAAGTAAACGGCCAAAAGTTAGGTATGTGGGAGACACACCCACAAACCACCTCCGGCTCAGCTATATAATTGGAGGCATGGCCTCTCTGGTTCCTGATTGGACTGCTTAACGGCCATGATTCCAGAGACTCAGGAACAAATCTCGAAGCCCAATGGCTTTTGGCAGAAATGTGTTCGGTCCCTGCAGTAGGTTACCGGCGCCAGGCCACCCCAGGTGGGAATAGGTTTCATGCCTTGGCCTGTTCCCCCTGGCGGGCCGGTGGCCGTCATCTTCCAGAGGCCACTGGACAGTCAGGTTTGGGCCCACAGTGATGAGACACGTGGGGCCTCACAGGATGGGGGTGGAGCTGGCACTTTCCTCCCCGTCTCAACGAGACCCCGAGTCACTGCCCATGAACGGCCTATCTGGCTCCTGATTAAGCTGCTTAATGGCCATGATCCCAGAGACTCAGAAACAAATCTCGAAACCCAGCGGCTTTTGGCAGAAATGCGTCCAGACCACGCAGTAGGTTACTGTCGCTGGGCCACCCCAGGGGAGAAAGGGTGCTGTCCCTCCACCTGCTCCCCCTAGGCGGCTCAGTGGCCGCCATCTGCCAGAAGCCTTTGGACAGTCAGGTTTGGGCCCGCAGTGACGAGACATGCAGGGCCTCACAGGATGGTGGTTGAGCCGGCCCTTTCCTCCCTGTCCCAACGAGACCCCAAGTCGCCGCCCACGAACGTCTTTTCTGGCTCCTGATCAAGCCACTTAATGGCCATGATCTCAGAAACAAATCTCGGAACCCAGGGGCTTTTGGCAGAAATGCGTCCGGTCCCTGCAGTAGGTTACCAGCGCTGGGTTCTGATACCAAGAACAGAGTCTCTTTTCTTATGCTGTGTTTGGTAAATACTGTATTTCATTCACAGGCCAGGGAGGGAATCTAGGGCTTGGTTTTGCTATACAGGAGGAGTAGCAGGAACGAGAAAGCGCAGAGTCTCTGGGATATGGGGTCATTCACACCCCACGTTCACTGTGAATTTTCTCCTTTTGATAGTTATGAGCATCTTTCTCTGAGCAGTCTTGTCAACTAAACCTTAGTTTTTTCTCCCTCAGGTGTTAGAGAGATCTGTCCCCTAAAGTTTGTGTTTTCCCACTTCCTCTTCTTCTGTTTCCTCCCCAAAAAACTCTCATGAGAGTTGCTATTTTCTTCGTCAACAGCCTCCCTCGGTTTTAGAGCTGACTGGATAGTTTATTCCAATTTCTCAGGCTTTCTAAGCCATCGGTAAAATTGCTATTTAATCAGAGAAGTACGCAGCCAGGCCTCAAGCAGAGACGTAGAATATGGCTGCAGAAGGTGGGTCCCCCTAGTTTGTAGGTTATAGAAGCTACAAGTTGTCCAGATGCTTCTGATTGGGGGGGCTGGTTGTGGGGGTGCGGGGCGGTGCTGGGGAGAGCGCAGGCGTGGGCTTGGCGCGTTTCTCTCTCCCATACCTTCCTGTGCCCCCGCACTGTTGCAGGAGAAGAAGAAGACCTCCCAGCTGACGCCTCAGCGGGGCTCCAGCGAAAACGATGACGACGACGACGAAGATGATGATGATGGCACATCGGAAACGGACTCTGATGATGACGATGATGATGATGAGCATGGGGCCCCTCTGGAAGGGTGAGGGAAAAAAAAACCCCGGATTTAGGAGGAGGACGGTATTCTGAAAGCGGAAATGAGATGCTCGATCTTTGCATTGCCCCATCTGGAGTTTCAGAGGCCCATTGTAACGCCTTTTCACTTTTTTTGGTTATTTGTGGGCCACACCCAGGAGTGTTTAGGGCTCAGTCCTGGGGGTGCTGGGGATTGAGCCCAGGTTGACCATGTGCACGGCAACGCCCTCCCCAGTCTCTTTGCTCTCCCCCTCGCCCCAGACACACTGCCTTTCCACTGTCCCTCTGCCCATTGCGGGACAGGGCTCCTGCCCTTGGCATGTTACCAGTTGAGTCACATCCTTGGCCTGGGAAGACTTTTGTTGTTTGGTTTTTGGGCCACACCGGGCAGTGCTGAGGGCTCACTCCTGGCTCTGCATTCAGGAATCACTCCTGGCAGTGCTCGGGGGACAGTATGGGATGCTGGGGATCAAACCAAGGCCAGCTGCGTGCAAGTTGAGTTACCAGTTGAGTAACATCCTTGGCCTAGGAAGACTTTTGTTTGTTTTTTGGGCCACCACGGGCAGTGCTCAGGGCTTATTTCTGGCTCTGCATTCAGGAATCACTCCTGGTGTGCTCAGAGGACCATATAGGATTCTGGGGATCAAACCAGGGTCAGCTGCGTGCAAGACAGATACCCTCCATGCTATATTATTGCTTTGGCCTCTAGGAAGACTATTTTTATGCGGAACTTAAGATCCAGACTGGGGAGAGCACTCAGAGGCCTGGAGTGATTGCCTGGCAGGCACAGAGTTCCGGGTTTGATCCCTGGCACCGCACAGCCTCCTGATGATAACGAGGTGGAGCCTGAGTGGTACCCAGCCTCACTCCTCCCTGCAAAGCTAAGATCCTTTTCCAGCTTTTTTTCCCTGGTGTTAAGAGGAAAAAAATTTCTTCTGTGTTATAAAATATAAAAACATGGATTTTTGGCAACTCTTTTTTTCTTGTTATATATATTAAGAAATGATTATGATCAAGCGATAGTACAGCAAACGAGCAGGGTGCTTGCTTTGTACACAGCTGACCCAGGTTCAATCCCTGGTACCCCGTATGGTTCCCAGAGCCAGCCAGGAGTGATTCCTGTGTTGCAGAGCCAGGAGCAAGCCCTGAGCACCATCTGGTGTGAACCCAAAACAAAACAAAACACAAAGAAATAATTACGACCAGTCTGTGCTTGATTGGGCCCCACCTGGCTGCACTGGGGACAGCTGTCTGCTCAGGGCTCAGGGGCCATTCTCACAGGTATTCAGGTGGTCGTGGATACTAGGAATGGAACACAGAGTTCCTGGTGTAAAACTTGTGTTCTAGCTGGCAAGTTTGCTGCCTGGCCCCTCATAAACAACTTCACACTTGCTGAGGGCTGGAGCAATAACACAGTGGGTAGGGTGTTTGCCTTGCATGTGGCCAACCGGGGTTCAATTCTGTATGGTCCCCTGAGCACCGCCAGGGGTAATTCCTGAGTGCAGAGCTAGGATTAACCCCTGTGTGTCGCCGGGTGTGACCCAAAAAGCAAAAAAATAATTGAAAAATAAAAAGTTTCAAATTTGCCCTGGTGACCACCAGGGGGAAGGCAGGGCTTGATTTCGGAGCCCCCAGTCTTGGGCTGGAGCAGTAGCACAGCGGGTAGGGCGTTTGCCTTGCACGCGGCCGACCCGGGTTCAATTCCCAGCATCCCATATGGTCCCCTGAGCACCGCCAGGGGTAATTCCTGAGCGCAGAGCCAGGAGTAACCCCTAACGCCTGTGCATCGCCGGGTGTGACCCCCGCCCAAAAAAAAGCAGAGCCCCCAGTCTTGCGGTCAGAGTAACCCATAGGCTCAGCCCCACCAGCTCTTCTCTGCCCACTGGACCGTTGTCTTGCTCTCTCCAGGGCCTATAACCCTGCGGATTATGAGCACTTGCCAGTTTCTGCCGAGATCAAGGAGCTCTTCCAGTATATCAGCCGGTGAGTAGAGGATGCCCACCGCCACCGTCGGCCCCCACCCCACTGCCCCTTTTCCTTCATTTACCCGAAACTGCTCTTTGCCTCTGATCTCTGCTTGAGTAGTAGAGCGAGTTTCTCTGGCCATCTCTCCTCCCCCTGGTGCTGCCGCCTAGGTACACGCCTCAGTTGATCGGCCTGGACCACAAACTGAAACCCTTCATTCCTGACTTTATCCCGGCCGTTGGGGACATTGACGCCTTCTTAAAGGTACAGTGAGATCCGCCTAAAGCCAAGTGCTGAACTGTCTCTTCTGGCTTCTCTCTTCCTCTCAGAACCCCCTAATTGGCTCGATCAGCCCTGCCGCCTTGAAAGTTACTCATTTCGAGTCAGAGAGAGAGGGTCAGACATAGGAGGACTGCACTCATTTGTGGAATAGAAAATAACATAATATGAGACTGACACCCAAGAACAGTAGACACAGGGCCAGGAATATTGCTCCATAGTTGGAAGCCTGCCTCATGAGCTGGGGGAGAAGGGAGCTGGAATAGAGAAGGGATCACTAAGTGGTTGGAAGGATCATTCGGGATGGGAGATGTGTGCTGAAAGTAGATAAAGGACCAAACATGATAACCTCACAGTATCTGTGTTGCAAACCATCATGCCCAAAAGTAGAGAGAGAGCATGGGGGAAATTGTCTGCCATAGAGGCAGAAGAGGGTTGGAAAGGGGGAGTATACTGAGGACATTGTTGGTGAGAATGTGCACTGGTGAAGGGATGGGTGTTTGATCATTGTATGATTAAAACTCAAACATGAAAACTTTGTGACTGTATCTCACAGTGATTCAATAAAAAAAAAATTTTACTCATTTCATTGGAGCCTTTGCCTCTCATCCAGACTGTGCTCATTGAAGAATACTCGGTTTTCAGTTATTATTAAGATACTAACATTTTGTCATTTATTTGCCCTGTTGTTATCCATGACCTTTGCTTTATACCTAAGGTCCTATAGGTCAGTATTTCTCATCTGGGGGCTATATGGCCCCCGCGGCCCCTGGGATCTCCCGAGGAGGCCAGAGGTAAAATCCACGTAAACGGTGTGGGTACCCCATGAGACTAGGGGCCTGCCAAGAGCAGAGGAGCCACAGGAAGGGAACTAGGTCAGACAAGGTCAAAGGTTGAGAAATTTGCTATCGATTACATATTTTACCCCCTCTATGTTGTTATCATTATCATGGAGCGACAGCACAGCGGGTAGGGTATTTGCTTTGCATGCGGCCGACCCGGATTTGATTCCTCCATCCCTCTCAGAGAGCCCGGCTACTGAGAGTATCCCGCCCGATCAGCAGAGCCTGGCAAGCTCCCTGTGGCATATTTGATATGCCAAAAACAGTAACAACAAGTCTCACAATGGAGATGTTACTGGTGCCCGCTCGAGCAAATCGATGAACAGCGGGAGGACAGTACTACGGTGCTACATTATTATTATTATTATTATTATTATTATTGCTTTTTGGGGCTGGAGTGATAGCACAGCGGTAGGGCGTTTGCCTTGCAAGCGGTCAACATGGCCAACCTGAGTTCAATTCCTCCGCCCCTCTCGGAGAGCCCAGTGAGCTACTGAGAGTATCTCGCCCGCACGGTAAAACCTGGCAAGCTACCCATGACGTATTCAATATGCCAAACACAGTAACAAGAAGTCTCACGATGGAGACATTACTGGGCCCGTTCGAGCAAATTGATGAATAACGGGAGAATCGTGACCATGATTATTGCTTTTTGGGTCACACCTTGTGATGCTCAAGGGTAACTCCTAGCTCTGCACTCAAGAATTACTCCTGGAGGTGCGTGGGGAACCATATGGGATGCCGGGGATTGAACCTGGGTAAAGCACATGCCCTACCCGCTGTATTATCACTGCAGCCCCATTCCCTCCATAGTATTTTAGTTCAGCCCCTCCCACTAGTGTGCTCTTTATCTCTGTTAACAACAGTGCATCAGATTTCTGTTTTTTTGGGGGGGGGTAGAGGAGGGGTGTTTGGGTCACACCCAGCAATGCCCACGGGTTACTCCTGATAGTGTACGCAGGAATCACTCCTGGTGATTGGGAGGTGTTTGGGGGACCATATGGGATGCCGGGGATCGAATCTGCATCAGCAGCGTGCAAGGCAGGTGCCCTCCTCACTCCATTATTGCTCCAGCGCTTGGTGCACCAGATGTCGTCCCTGCAGCTTACTGGAAACCACGGCCGTTTCACGCCCTCCCACTTCCCCCTCTGCTTGCTTCCGTTTCTCTGATCCAGGTGCCACGTCCTGATGGGAAGCCCGACAACCTTGGCCTGTTGGTATTAGATGAGCCGTCTACCAAGCAGTCGGACCCCACAGTGCTTTCTCTCTGGTTGACAGAGAATTCCAAACAGCACAATATCACGGTAAGACCTAGCCTAGCCAGGCTTCTGTGAGGAGGCCCAGTGCAGAGCCTTGTTGGCATGTGTGCATTCCATTTACTGTCCCTCCGAGGGACAGCCCTGGTTTCACACCAGCCTCCGCCCTTTCAGTTTGCTTTTGGTCCATATTCGGCAGTGCTCGGGGCTTACTCTTGATTCTGTTCTCAGGGGTCACTCCTGGAGGTGCTCAGGGAACCCTAGGGGCTACTGGGGATTGAACCTAGTGGTGTTTGAGGCAACCCTGCCCACTGTATTAATCTCTCTGGCCAACATTTTATTTTATTTTCATTTTTATTTTTGCTTTTTGGGTCACACCTGGCAGTGCACAGGGGTTACTCCTGGCTCATGCACTAAGGAATTACCCCTGGCAGTGCCCAGGGGACCATATGGGATGCTGGGAATCGAACCCGGATCGGCCGTGTTCAAGGCAAACGTCCTACCCGCTGTGCTATCACTCCAGCCCCTCTGGCCAACATTTTAAATTTTTGTCCATCTTGGTAGGAATGAGGTGGTATTTCAGGTCAGTCCTGCCTCTTCACATCACTTCAGAAATTTAGACCAGGCTGTCGTATTATCTCTTTTTGGTTGCTGTCAGGTTTCCATTTCACCAGCTACAGCCTCCCCACCCCTGACCCCGTGCATGAAATAGCAGTGTCCAATGAGCGCCTCTGAAATGCGGGCGGGTTTATTTCAGTGTCATCGGTCAGGCTCTGCCCTTGTTTTTCTAGCAACATATGAAAGTGAAGAGTCTGGAAGAGGCAGAAAAGAATCCCAAGGCCATCGACACATGGATTGAGAGCATCTCTGAGCTGCACCGTTCTAAGCCCCCCGCGACCGTGCATTATACGAGGTGAGAGGCCACATTTCCGCACATTTCCCAGAAGGCGACCCACAGGCAGCAGGGCAAGGACCAGAGTTGATGAGTTGGAGACTCTGGGTTCTGGGAGCTGCGGCTGAGGTTGCTTTATCTGGTCGCATCACTCAGCCTGGCCCAGGAAGCCCCAGCGCAGGATTAGGTTTGCCCAGCCTGGGTTCTCCTGGAACCCATGTGTACCAGCCTGCAAAGCTGCCATCCTCCTAGAATGCCCTGCCCCAGATTTTGCTGATGTCACAGCTTTCTTTTGCCGTATGTCTCTGTTCTTTTAGGCCCATGCCCGATATTGACACACTGATGCAAGAATGGTCCCCTGAGTTTGAAGAGCTTTTGGGCAAGGTGAGTAGAAAGGTGGCAGAGGCTGAGAAAGTGTGGCACCCGCTTGGAGACTTTTTCTTTTTTAAATCTCCTTTTCCTATATTGGGCTGGAGCGATAGCTCAGCGGGTAGGACGTTTGCCTTGCACGCAGCCAATATGGCCGACCCGAGTTTGATTCCTCTGCCCCTCTTGGAGAGCCCGGCAAGCTACCGAGAGTATCTCACCCGCACGGCAGAGCCTGGCAAGCTACCCGTGATGTATTCGATATGCCAAACACAGTAACAACAAAGTCTCCAATGGAGACGTTACTGGGCCCGCTCAAGCAAATCGATGAACAACGGGAGGACAGTGGACAGTGACAGTGACAGCTTCCTATATTAATGCTCTCATTACCCTCCTAATGGAAGTATAACATGTAGTCAGGAATTTCCACAGACCGTTAAGTATTCATTTTTTTATGAATACTTAAAAACACATTTGTGGGGCTGGAGGAATAGCACAGCAGGTAGGGCGTTTGCCTTGCACACGACTGACCCGGGTTCAATTCCCAGCATCCCATATGGTCTCCCGAGCATTGCCAGGAGTAATTCCTGAGTGCAGAACCAGGAGTAACCCCTGAGCATCGCTGGGTGTGACCCAAAAAGCAAAAAAAAAAAAAAAAAAAAACACACACAAAAACAAACTCACATTTGTTTAATCAGCATATAAAAAAGAACAAAACCCAGGCATTTGCCTGCACACAGCAGCCCCAGGATCAATCCTCAGCCCCCCGATATGGTCTCCCGAGCCCCGCCAGGAGTGACCCTGAGCACCGCCGAGTGCCAGCATCCAACATGGCATTGATTTCAGGTCACCACACAGTGGTTTCATATTTCTCTATTGTAAAATGGTCGCCGCCTGTGTCTCGCGAGCATCTGTACCCACATACCGCCTGCTTTGGTGGCTGAGGAATGGGACTAACTCCCTTTTACTGAACAGAGTGGGAAAGCTCTTGCACTTCTTTGCTAGGACTGTTACGAGTGGCATAGCACAGGCTGTCGGCTTTGACATCACAAATGCATTTTCTGGGGCTGAGGCATTAGAAGAGTGGGGAGGGCACTGGCCTTGTACTTGGCTGACTCAGGTTTGATCCCCGGCATCCCATATAGTCCTCTGAGCCCTCCAGGAGTGGTTCCTGCGTGCAGAGCCAGGAGTAAGCCCTGAGCATCACACCAGGTGTGCTTCCCACCCTCAAAATGCATTTTCCTCCAGGCCTGGTGTCAGAAGCCTGCCATCATGTTATAGGCAGAGTTGATTGACGTCTCCCGGCTCTTTCTCATTGGTCTGTTTCCCGTCTTCCCGTGCTCATCCTGCATGCGTGTGTCCGAGTGTCCTGACTTCCTCTTAGACGTCGTGCTGGATTAGTGCTACCCACCAGCCTCTTTCGTGGTGTCTTTCGAGACAGTGTCCACGACTGCCCTCTGAAGTGCAGGAGGTCTGGGTGGCCGCCTGCGTGTTTCCGAGGCATCAGGCTTTGTGCTTGCAGCTCTTTATCTTCCGGGAGTGGGGCTGGACCCCCTGAAGCTTCAACCCCTTCACACGTGTCCCCCCACGCCGTTAGGTGAGCCTGCCCACGGCGGAGATCGATTGCAGCCTGGCACAGTACACCGACATGATCTGTGGTAAGCATCCGCCCGCCCGCTCCCATCCCCCCTCACTGTACCAGGGCAAGGTCAAGGGCCCGTGTGCCAGGGAAGGCAGCTCTGAGTTCCATCGTGGTTTGAGCCAGACATACTGTTTGGCTCAGGGTTGGGGCGTGCAGAGGCTGGGTGTGGGCCTCCCACCCAGCACAGGAGTTAATCTCTAGGAGGGCACTCGCTCCTGAGACGAAAGCGCCCTTCTCGCCCAGAGTGGCCTTGGGTTCTGCGCATAAGCGTTTCTCCTTTCAGCAATCCTGGACATCCCCGTCTACAAGAGTCGGATTCAGTCCCTGCACCTGCTCTTCTCCCTCTATTCGGAATTTAAGAACTCCCAGGTGAGACTAGTGCTGGTGTGTGGTGCCGTGGGTTACACCCTCCTGCCACTCGGATCAGCCCCCAAGGCTCTCCAGGGGTCCTTGTTCCCGTGGGAGAACAAGTAGACTAGTGAAAGGGGCTGGAAGGAGGCAAAAGAGGAGTTCAGTCTGGGGCAAGGTGGGGAGGGGTTCAGTCTGGAAGGAGATCGGGATGGGGTTCAGTTGAGGAATTTGGGGTGACTGGCAGCTGATTTTCAAAGTGAACACAAAGGAATTGTTTGGAAGTAGAATTGGGGGGGTGGGATCGGGACCTAAGGTCAGAGCGACAGTATAGGGGGAGGGCACTTGCCTTCTACCTTCCCGACCTGGGGTCAGCCCCTGGCACCACACGCAGTCCCCTGAGCTCTGCCAGGAGGGATCCCTGAGCACTGCCAGGTGGCCACAACGCAACAATAAAACTGAAGCCGAATGTGCCGTAAAGAGGGACGTTCCGATGTGGGCCCAGCACCTCCCCGACGCTGAGTCCCGCTCCCTCTCTGTTTCCTCGCAGCATTTTAAAGCTCTTGCCGAGGGCAAGAAACCCTTCACGCCACTGTCCAATTCCACCTCGCACACCGGAGACGCAGAGACTCTGACCTTCAGCTGAGATCGCCCGGCCGGAGCTGGCCTATTTGCTGGCTGAGGAGAGCTGGCTGCCAGCTGCCTGCCACCCACGCCCCCTAGACACCACCAGTCATGCGCTGGCCCAGCTGCCCGCTCTGCTTTCCCTCCCGTGGCAGCGAACGCCTCTCCCCATGTGGGGACTGAGTTAGGAGAATTGGAATCTCGGGGCTCCCTGGGTGCTCAAGCGAGGAGGGCGGCCTGAAACTGTTCCCCATGAAGTAGCCATGGAAGCCTTTGCTTGCTTTCTTGAGGTTAGTTGGCAGAGTTTTTACAAATAAAATGTTCTATCTTTCAAGTTACTTTGCTGTTGGAGAAGGATGAGACTGAGTCCGGGGCAGAGCTCAGGAGCTTGGCCTAGTAAGAGGCATTAAGCAGGGGCCTGAGCGCTGGTCCAGCGGGGAGGGCGTTTGCCCTGCATGCCGCCAACCTGGGTTTGATCCCCGGCATCCCATAGGGTCCCCTGAGCCCCGCCAGGAGTTTCCTGAGTGCAGAGCCAGAAATAATCTTTGAGCATTTGGTGTGGCCCCCAACCAAACAATTACGCGGGCAGCAGTTTAAGTAAACCAGTTTGATAAAATAAAATCAAATCTCAAATCTTCAAGGTTGGCCACTAAGGGGAGTCCTTTTTCTACTAGTCTGCTGTTCGCTTCACAGCCGGGCCTGGCTAAGTCCACACCCGTCCGAGGGACCAATCACTTAAGCACCAGCCAACAAGTACTCCACCTTTGGGGGTAAAGATGAAATATCAGGTGGCTGAAGTATAGTGGGAAGAAAAGTGCTGAGCTGGAGGGAGGACAGGTTATGGTGAATGCCTCCCCTGCAGCAGCTTTGCTCCAGGATTCACCACATGGTCCCTCAGGCACGGCTGGGTGTAGCCCCAGAGACCCTCACTGCTGATGGGGCCCAGGTCCTAACCTGCCACCGGACATCCCAGCAGCTCCACATCCTCAGGTCCTGTTGGCTGGGAATGTCTGGGAAGGACCCTTGAGCCTCCTAAACACATCCTGGATGAGCTCTTAAAAAAAACTGGTGCTTTGTTCTTGAAAAGAGAAAACTCAGATTGGAGGTGTGAGTTATGCTTGGAAGTTCCATGCTCTGGGGCCAGAGAGATGCAACAGAGGGGTAAGGCATCAGCACCACCCCAGCATTCCTGAGCCCTGCCAGGAGTGATCCCTGAGCACAGAACAGGTCTGGGGGTGAAGAGGTAGTCCAGAGGTTAAGGTGCTTGCCTTGCAATGTGGCCAGTCCTGGTTCAAATCTGAACATCACGTATGGTCCCCTGAGCAACCACTGAATATGGCCCCAAATTCCCAGATGAGAGACCTCAGCCCCAGGACGTAGCTCAATGCCAGGAGTGCCAGCCTTGCACATACAGGACCCCAAGTTTGAACTTCAGAACCACAGTGCACTACCAGGAGTGATCTCTGCACAGAGCTGGGAGTCATCCCTGAGCACCGTTCCCCCCTCATTTTTATATAAATAATTTGGGGATGTCACTTAGTGATAGGGCTCTTGCCTTCCATAAGGCCCTGGGTTCAGTCCTTAGTACTGCAAAAACTAAAAAGCCAGGCCAGGGAGAGAGCTCAGTGGTCTGGAATTGGAGGGTATGTTTGGAGGGGCCTGGGTTTGGTCCTGACACCCGACGATACCCCTCTCCCCCTCCCATCACAGCCAGGTACGGCCCCCAGACCAAGAAATCAATAATGACAGGCAGTCATGGAACTGTCTAGTTTATTGAGCTTCCCATGTGCTCAGCACTGTCCTAGGCTATCACGAGGAAAACTACAGGACAAGATGCCAACGAGGGAAAGGACAAGACTGTAATACATTCATCTGCGGTCACTGCCATGGTGCTGCTCGGGGCATTCTGGGGCTGCATGGGGGCAGGTGAGCTCACCGTGTCTCCGAAAGCTGGCACTGCCCAGTCATGTGCCCTTATGTGCATCCCCTGCAGGATGGGGCAGCTCAGGGGGAGAGCAGCTTCCTGCCAGTGAGACAGTGGGCGGCCAGGGGGGACATACGGGGGCATGAACCTGAGGGCTTGGGCGCTTACATCAGGCACTCGGTGTCACAGGAAGGCCACACTTGGGAGAGTTCCAGAGGGCCCAGGGACCCTCGCTCACCCCCTCCCTGGGGATCTGTTTAAAGTGCCAACGTAGGAAGAAAGGGACACCAGGCTCCATACTGACCGCCAACGGCACCTGGCTTCTCCTCTGCCCTGCTCCCTCCAGACTTGTGCAAACACAGGCACTGGCCCATGGGGGTGCTAGGCCAGCTGGGAGGTCTGGTGCCCAAGAAGGAAGGGCCAAGGGGTGACAGCCAAGGGGAGGCAGGCACCGAGGGGGCGTGGCATGGAGGTATGCAGCAAAGGGACCAGTTTGTGCTTGGCCATGCCAACTGTGGGGCGGAACGTTCCTGTGCTAAGGGCAGTTTGGTTCATTCAGCTAGCGGGTTTTCCTGAGGGAATAAAGCTGTGAGCGTGGGGCAGAGCCCTGGGGTGTGCGGGGCCCTCCTTGTGCCCTTCCTAGAGCTGAGAGCACGGTGCCAAGCCAACCGCCTGCCAGGCGCGAGAGGCTCGGCTGGGCCCCAACCTGAGCTGGCAAGAGTGGGTACCCGTGCCTTGGTGGGTCCCCGAGGAAGGTCACGTGCTGACACAATGCCCAGCCTAGAGGGCCGGCAGAAGTGGCAGTGGCACGGCCTCTTTACCTCGGCAACAGGAAGACGGCTGGGAGGGGACCCGGGGGGCCAAGGGGGCTCAGAGCCAGATCTCATCGCTGCTCACGCTGGACACGCGGTAGATGTAGCCCAGCATGGGGAGGCGGATGAAACCTGTGGGGTTCATGGGGGGGTCTCAGGAAGCCTAACGGAAGCTGGGAGGCCCCTCTTCCCCTCTGGGCACAAACCCAGGGCTGGGGGTGGGCAGTGGATGGATGGGTGGGCAGAGGGGCACAGTAGCCTTGGACTTGTACCTCGACTGGTGAGGAGGCCGCCGGGCTCGGGTTCCTGAAGTTCAGGCCGGTTTTGGGGGCCTGCGGCCACGCGTTCGGTCTCTTTCCCTGCTGGATGACAAGGTGAGTAGTGTCCAGGAGGAGGGGCTGGGAGAAGCCTGGGGGGGTCCCTGCACCTACCTCTGCAGTCGGGCGTGAGGTCGTTGAGCTGTAGGTTGGACGGGAGGGACATGTTTTCCCGAGGCAGGCGCACGTTGTTGAGCTTCAGGTTGTTGGAGTCACTGCAGAGGCAGAGGGCCCCACGAGGAGACGGGGGTGCTTGGCAACCCAGCAGCACCCCCTGGTCTCCACACATCCCCAGGCTGTGTCTCCACTCGGCCTGGGCACCCAGCCCCAGAGTTACCTGGAGATCAGAGACGGGCGCCGAGAGGGGCCTGGGGAGAGAGAAACCAGCTGCATCCTCAGGGTGCCCGTGGTGCCCCGGCCCTGCCCTTGCCCAGCCTGAACCTCCAGGGGGCGCTCCAGTGCCCCGCCCTGGCTCAATACCATGCCCTTGTCTCTGGGCTGAGCTTTGAGTGGCCAGGACCTGGGTGGGACTAGGAAGACCTACTGACACATCTCTGCCCCCTGCCTCACTGCTCCCCGGCTCCCCACCCCTGACCCACTGGCTTTGCCCCTACCTTTGGTCTTCTTCTCTTTCCTGCACACCAGGCAGGCCACCAGCGTGCTGAAGCCCACCAGGGTGCCCAGGGCAAGCCCTCCAGCCAGGACGATGCCCAAGAGTGGTACTTCTACTCGGGTGGCCAGCAGCCCTGTGGGAAGGGAGGGAGGTTCTCGGGTTAGGCTCCCCTTGGGCAGTGGGCCAACCCGGAGATTCACCAGGTGCTGAGGACACGTGGCTATCAGACGCAGCCAAAGCCAACAAGGCCTCATGTCTGGGCCCCGCCTGCTTACCTGGGGCTGGAAGGGAGGCGCTGGTGACGCCCACATCGTTGGTGGCCACAACCGAGAGGTTGTGTGCCAGGCTGCGCAGCTGTAGCTGCACGGAGTGGTTGGTGAGCCAGGGGTAGCTCTGCGCATCCAGCACCAGGAAGTCGGAGGCGTTGACAGTCACCGGCCCATCCTGGTCCATCCAGGTAACATTGGCAGGTGGGTTGGCACGCACCAGGGCAAAGAGGACCACCAGAAGGCCGGGGCCCTGGGCTTCCTGGTACTTGGCCCCGACCTGGGCAATCTCTGGCTTAACTGGGGCAAAGGAGAGGCCGATGTAACCTCTCCGTAGCCCCTTTCCACCCCCCAAGGCCTGCCCACTCAGATGGGAGCCAGAGGCCACTCTTGCCTGTGTGTGCAGGAATGGGCATGGCACAGATGGCAGTTCCCAGTGACCAACAGTATAACCAACAGTATAAACGCCGGGGTCAAGGGCCAGAGAGGGAGGACAGGGGTTAGGTGCTTGCCCTGCATGACGCCACAGGGGTCCATCCTAAGGTCCCTTGGCACCACCAGGAGTGATCTCTGAGTACAGAGCCGGACTCAGCCCCTGAGCACTGCCGGGAGGGCCCTCGGGTCTGGCTTCGCTCCCAGGGGCTCACTTTACCTCTATGCCCCAGGGACTAGCAATAGCCATGACCTTGAGAAATGGTGGTGGGGATGCAGGTACGGAGTGTGGATGTATGTACAAAGTGTGTAAGTGTGTGGTTGTACCCCTGGGGCCCCTTCCCAGTGGCGGCAGGGGGCCCACTGCTGGGCACTCACATTGCACATGCAGGACAACTGAGGCGTTGGCAGCCCGCCCACTGCCAGGGTCGTACAGGGAGCAGTTGAGCTCACGCTGGGCCCTCTGGGCCGTGACGGTGAAGGTGCTGGTGCCCCCGGAGAAGGCCTCCCCGCCCACACTCAGCAGTCTGGAGGTACTGGCCTCCTGCAGCTGTCCGTCCAGGTACCAGGCCAGCTGGGGGGTGCCGGGGCCCCCTGACACGCGGCAGGTGAAGGCGTGGCGTTCATTCTCCCGAAGTGACCGTTCTGCCCAGGTCTGCCCATCAATTTGCGGGGCCAACTCCCCCCAACCTGGAACACAACAGGGCCTTCTGGGAGGGTCAGTGATGCTCTGTGACCAGATGAGCTGGGGTGTGGACAAGGCAGGGGGCAACAGACAGACCCCCTGACTCTCTCCCCAGGCCTTGAGGGAGGTGGGTGAGGGGAGTCTGGCTCTGGTGCCTGTGGGTGCATTTGGGGACCCATTCCAAAGGTGCAGGCAAGTGGCCAGGGGAACCTCAGAAGTACTTGACCACAGGATGAACAGGGGTGTACCTGAGCTCAGAAAGGCCAGCAGGAACAGCACGGTGTGGGGCTGGAGGGCAGCTGGGGCTGGAGGCAGCGCCATGGTTGGGCCCTAGGCTCCGTGAAACAAGCGTTGTCCGCCTGGTAAGAGCAGGCAGGCCCAGTGTCTCCCGGGAATTTACTCTCCCCAAACACAATCAGCCCGGGCAGGGACACGGATGTAGGCTGACCACAGCGGGCAGGTCGAAGGACAACGAACAAATCCAGCGGCCCAAATGGATGCATCAGGCCGTTCCTGCACCCAGGGGCGCGGAACTCAGGGCTGAGCCCAGGGGGACAAACTACACACCCGCAGATGCAACAGAAATAGCCCGCTGCGGCGCACGCGTACAGGCGCGCACACGCACCCGGGGACACGCGCCCTCCCCCCCGACGGGACCGCCCTTCTCCCAGCCCGTCTCTCTCCGGCCCTCATCGCCCTCCTATCCTTTCCCCACGCTCCCTTTCCCATCCTTCTTATTGCTCCCGTGGATCGGGACGGAAGAGGAGGCGACCCCTGGAGCGGGGTCCGCGGACATCACCACTGCGCCTCCCAACGGGCCGGCTCACCTGGCTCCCTCCCCGACGCAGCGGAGCAACTGCTCAGGTCTGCGGAGCGCCGTAGTCGGGGCGGGGCTAGCCCGGCCGGTCCAATCGGGACCCGCGCCGCACCAGAGCCCCGCCCCTCCGGTCCCGGAAGGACCAATCGGAACCCGCGTTGCACCCGCGCCCCGCCCCTCCGGCCGCCCGAGACCCGGGCCCCGCGCCGCGGGGGCCGCCGAGCGCCGCGCAGAGAGATGCGGGAGTCGATGCGAGCGGCGGCTTTATTGCTCGGGGCGGGGCGTCAGCGCCCGTTGCGGGGGCTGCGCAGCTGCCCCATCATATCGGCCAGCATGCGGTTGCAGAGCGCGGCGTACGGGTTCAGCAGCACCAGCTGGCGCCGCGCGAACGGGCTGCCCAGCTGCGCCGCGCGCTCGAAGTCCCGGCGGGCGTCATCGTCCCGGCCCTGCAGCCGCGCCAACAGTCCGCGCTGCACGAAGCCCTGGCGGGCCGCCCGGCCCCGGCCGCCGCTCAGCGCCAGGGCGCGCTCCAGGTCCTCGAGGGCGCCTGCGGGGACGGGAGCGGGGTCAGCGCCGAGTCGGGCTCCGATCCTCCTCCCCGTTCACAACCCGCCCGCCCCGGTGGTTTATGCCCGTTGCACGGGCAAAGGCTGAAGAGTGGCAGAGTCAGCACTCCACCCCGGTGCTTTGTTACCTACTTTGACTCTATTATTGCCCCTCTGCCAACATTCAAAGCTTGGCGCTCCCTGGGAGCAATTTTTTTTTTTTTTTTTGCTTTTTGGGTCACACCCGGCGATGCACTGGAGTTACACCTGGTTCATGCACTCAGGAATTACTCTTGGCGGTGCTCGGGGGACCGTATGGGATGCTGGGAATCAAACCTAGGTCGGCTGCGTGCAAGGCAAACGTCCTACCCGCTGTGCTATTGCTCCAGCCCCTCTGGGAGCATTTTTGACTTGGCAGCGAATGCTTGAATCTGGCGTGTAACACGCAGTTTATTTGATACCTTCGTTATCATCTACCGTGTTCTAGATCGCTGAATGCCATAGATGTCTTTTTTTTTCTTTTTGGGTCACACGTGGAGATGCACAGGGGTTACTCCTGGCTCTGCGCTCAGGAATTACCCCTGGCGGTGCTCAGGGAACCATATGGGATGCTGGGACTCGAACCCGGGTTGACCGTGTGCAAGGCAAACACCCTACCCGCTGTGCTATAGCTCCAGCCCAAGATCGCTGAATCCCAGATTTAAAACTGGCATAATGGGGTTGGTGGGAATCAGGGGGTAGAGGTGCTTGCTTCACATGCGGCCCATGGGGTACAAAGACATGAAAGTTCATTGTACAGCTTCCCTCCCCCCTTCCACTGGCATGCTTTGAAACAGTACCTCCACCCCCCCCCATCTCCACTTTTCTCCTTATCACCAGGATCTTCATTATTTTGTTTTCTTAGAGGGTCCTTTGCCTCCCTCTCACCTGCCACGTCTCCCTGGAGGCGGCGGGCCTGGGCACGGTTGTTGTAAGCTGAAGCCCGCTCCGGCAGCAGGCCAATGGCCTGGCTAAACCTCTCCAGGGCTGTCTGGAAGTCTCCCGCCTCTGCGGCTGTCACGCCCTGCAGCTCCAGGCCCTTGGACTGCTCCAGCTCTGCTTGAGGGAATGCTCCGTCTGTGCCAGGAGGGAGAGGGCAAGTGTGCCATGGGAGCAGGAAACAAAGTCCTTGGGAGCTCTGGAACCCGCGTCAGAGCCACCCTGGCTGGCCTGGGTGAAGGTCACAGGAGGTGGAGGGGGTTCTAGGGCCCCGGCGCTGGAGTCAGGAGTGTGAGACCTTGGAAAGTCTTTAAGTTGCAAAGGATGGGAAAGGGATGTAGGCTGGCTCCCCATTGCCCAGAGCATGGAGCCTGGAGCTAGTTCGCTCAAGGCCACACAGCCCCTAAGGAGTGTTGCCTGGATCTGAGCCAGGGCTTTCTGGGTCCCAGACCTGGCTCCATTGGCCTCCTGCGTGGTCACCATGATACATCCACATCACGAACATCATCACTTCCCTGTATCCCTCATATGTGCGAGGTATGTACCCTACCCACCAAGCTACATCCCTGGTTTAGGGTGTGATGAATCCTTGTTGCAGAGATGTGAGATTTCTCCTCCCCACTCCCTCCCCAACCATTAAATGGGTCAGGGCAGAACTCCGTGGGGTCAGTTCAGACCCAAGAAGGAAACCTGAGACAAACGCTTAATTCCTTCCCGTGGCCTGGGGCTCTTCCTGGCTGATTTAGTGGACCAGCAACTGTCCACCATCACCTGGGCCAGTCGAGGAGGGGGAACCTGCAAGTCCACTTCACTTCCCTATCATCCCAGGGTGGTCAGGAGAACGGTTCTCCAAAGCCAAATACTCACCTTCATCCACTTCTCCGTCGGCAATTTCCCCTAGCTCCAATCCATCAAGGTCTCCAAAAGGGCTATTAGGGTTGAAGATGGCCTGTAACACTGCCTGGTCATTCGGAGTCCCCATGGTGCCCAACTCCAGAACCCCAAAGGCTGGCCAGGAAAGAAGGGAGATGGGGTGGGGACTGAGCTGTCAGCTGACGGAGGGGAGGGACTGAGGGCCATCCCCCTTCACGGAAGGCTGTTCTCATCCCCAGCCAAAGTCAACTCAACCCTTTGGCCCGGGGGTAATGAACCTGGCTGGGCAGTTTATTCACAAATATTTCCCAACTGCCTCCCTACCACCACCTAGTCTTAGGAGAAACAGTGAATGAATCCAATTTCGGCCTTAAGGTAGAGAAGTGGGGTGGGGGTGTCCCAGGCACCCCTAAAAGGCTTCCCACTGGTTTGAAGCGCAGACTGGAAGAGAACTATTAAATGTATTTGCTTGACTGCCCATGGATATGAAGGTGGGGAGGAGAGGCAGAAGTCCAGAACCTTCCCTTGTCCTCCTGAGAAGGGGCTAGTTTGAGGGTGGCACTATAAGGCCAACCAGGACCACAGCTGCTCCCGTCCCTGCCACTCCTACCCAGCCAAAGCCAAAGGAAGCTCAGCCACGTGCAGCAATAAACTGGACATGTTTATTAATTAAACTATCACTTAAATAAAAAAAAGTGCATAGAAAATAAACATGTTTAAAAACTCCTTTGTTTTTACAACTATGTACACTTTGTACTTTTACATTCAGTCTTTCGTAGAGAGCTTTCAGCATTATTATTTTTGAATATTAAAGTATTTTCCTTCATCCCTGTCACAGGGAGTTAACACTGATGGACTTTAGACACATTTTTTTTCCTTTTTTTTTTCTCTTTTTCTCTAACCAGAAGCTTGGAAGAACACAAGGAAAAAAAAACAAAAACGAAAAGATCTGTTATACATGATAAAGTTGTCAAGAAATGTCTTATTTCTAGAAAAGAAGCTTGTCATCTGTTGAGCTTTTGAAACAATTATTCAACTACCTGTATTTACTAAAGAGACTGTAAAAGTTCAATAAAAGAAACACCACAAGTCTATTTTCTTGGTTGAAAGACAGAACTAGAGTACCTCGGAACAAGATACCAGGAAAGCACAGAACACAATTTTCCCCTAAATGCAGGTGGTAACCCCAACATTCATAACCAAAAATAGAGAAACGAGGAGTACAGGTACTGACTGGCAACATTCACGGGCAGAAAAAAATCCAGGTGACCCCATTTCTGCATTTCTCTCTGGTCCTGGGAATGTGCCGTCCTGCCATTCCCTTTCCGGTTCGGGTCCCCCGGGCCGGGACCAGAGGCACGCCAGACTGACATTTTCCTGCCACTACTAGCAACTGTAACACAATCCTTATCTATAGTGTTAAGAGAATTAAAAGCCATGGACTGAACTAGGCTTTGTTACATGGTGCATACTATATTAGTTCCTATATATATCATATTTATATTTATTTGAAAACCAAAACAAAAAAGTTGCAAGTTTTCAGAGTGTGAGACTTAACTAGTATTCATGATTCGGCACAAAACCATCTGCTCGATAACCTTGTATTGCTTTAAAATGAAGAAAATGAAACGTAAAATTACACCCAGCCCTTTGCAATGACCCGCTTTTCCTTAAAAACGAACAAACAAAAAATCCAAACTTGATTTCTATTAGAAAAGAATCCCAAATCAAACTTCAAAGTTAACATCTGACAAGGTTTTGACCTTAGTATTTTCAGATATTTGATTGAACGTCAGTCCTTTAGAAAGATACATTCATTAAAAGATTTTTGTGTTTTGTTGTATTTTTTTTTTGAATCAAGGGAGCTGCATGGTGCTCACTGCGCTGGCCGGGGGGCGGGGGGTTCGGGGGTGATGGGGACAAGCGGGAGGGCGGCCGGACGGAACCCCAACAGAGGAGTCTGGTTGAAAACATAGCTGCCGGGGCTCCCTCTTCGTTGTGATTGGTCTGAGAACCAGAGGGCCTGGGCTGGAGGTGGTGGACGGTAACAGAGGGGCCAAGGGACCAAGTTCCGGCCAAAGGGTCAGCGCCATGCAGCCATTCTGGTTACGCAGTTGTCACTGGCCACCAGGGAATGCAGCCGCAACAGGTCTAGCAGCAAAGCTCTAAGGGAGCTGGCCCTCACTGAGAAGTGACCAGATCTGCAGCTGTGACTCCTGAAGGATTTGGGGGTGCCCCCTGGGGGGTTCTGGGGAGTGACCCGCCAGAGTTCCTCAGTCTGCACTTTTGTGCGGAGAGTCCCTTGGTCTCTGTCCACGCCGTCCGATCGGAGGTGTGTGGGAGACAGCGATGCCACTTTGGCTTTTGCCTTAGCCGAGGCCCCGAGTTGCTGGCAGGTGTGCTGAGTTTTGGCAATGGACTCAAGGCTGAGCTAGACGAGGACGAGCTGTCGCTTCTGTGGCTGCCGGTTGGGGAGCTCGAAGGCAAGGCAAACCACCAGCGGCTGGCTGAGAAGCCCGGGCGGCTCCTGCCCAGCCCGAGGGTCTGGGTTTTGGGGAGAATGAGGAGGGGGCTCACAGTACAGCACGGCCTAGCAGGCAGCCACTAGGTCTATTGAGCTGAGTTTCCCCCCCACCCCCGACTGGCCTTTGGGTCTTTCTCGAGGTGATTTCGGGACCCGTCAGTGCATTAATCATCTCAGTAACAAATGCAGCTTAAGGTTCTTTCTTAAAAAACAAAACAAAACAAGAAAGAAATAAAAAGGATTTACAAAAAAACCTCACACAGTGCAATAATCAAGGGAACCAGACGCGAGTGGGGCCCTGGGGCCACCGCGTCTTGTTCGTGGGCGAGGAGGAAGGGAGGTGAGGTCTGGGTAGAGTGCTTGCCCCAGTCCCCTGCTGGCACTTCTCCACGAGGACAAGGAAGTCTCTGCCGTCCTGGCCACAGTGCTGGGCTCCCTGCACGACAGGAAACAGTGACAGTGTGCCAGCAAAGCCGCCCGAGTTCTTAAGGTCACGTCAGAACAGGGAGTGCAGGGTGGAAGGCACGGCAGAGCCGGGAGGGTGGGGGGCGCGCGGGCTGGGCTGGGCCGAGTCGTATTGCTTCACTGACCTCCGAGGAAGGGGCTGCCCCTGAGCCAGGGCCCGCCCTTGCCTGGATGACCCTGCTCCGAGCGAACCAATGAACCGCCGAGCTCGGGGTGGGGGTGGGGGGCAGGGGGTGCTGCCAGGGGCAGAGAGAAACCTGCTTGATCGTTTGAGTGGTCAGACTGTGCTTCAGTTTCAACGGGCTGCCCCCCAGCCGGGGCTGGGGGTGGGGTCCGTGGGCTCTTTGCAGCTACGAGGACGTGGTGGACTGAGGGACCGCGAATGAGGTGACCAATGAGGCAGATGGTGATGGACAATGTCACGTTGCCATTGAACTTGGCTGCGAACTCAGGAGGAGGAAGGGGAGAAGAGGGAGATGGAGGAGAGAAGAGGAGAAACTGCGTGGCAAGATCCTAGCGAGCCTTGGAGGAGCTTCACCGGGGAAGGAGGGAGGCCTTCCCTCCCCACCGACCGCCAGGGAGCAAACCCAGGAGACATAGCGGATGTCAACGGGGCACACACAAGCGACACACTGAACAACAACAAGTTACACCTTCCAGGGGGAAGCTGGGCAGGAGAAACCAGACTGTGTGTACAGCTGAATATTTTCTCTAACTTCATCCTAGGAAAATAAAAAATTATTAAAAACCGATCTTCTTTTAAATTAGGATAATACCGCGGTTTAAAAAATAGCCTTGTCATAAGTGCTTCTCCCTATGAAGTGCTTCTCATAGAAAAATATACAAAATATATTTACATTTATAAAACCTTAAATAGTAAACTGTAAACAGAACAGAGTAAAATCCAATGACTTAATTTAACAGGTTCAGGACACTGTCTCGCGGGAAGAAAGAGAAGGAACATTTGATGCTGTTGTGACCGCATCCTACGGAGCGATCGGCAGTAGTGTCATCCAAGGACTTTGCCCGTGGGCCATGCACGGCGGCAGGGTTCCTCCACACGGGGCGGTGAGTGCCCAAGTTTCGGGCCTTGAAATCTGATTAGTGTTCTGCCTTCCACTGGGCACCGACCACTTACAAAGTACGTCTTCCTATGTCTTACTGGGGGTGAGCTGGGGATCAAGTTACCCTGTCCAGGACTCGGGGCCAGGGGACATTCCATCCTAGTGGGGATACTCTGGTTGTTGCATGATTCCAATCCTATTTAAACAATCTTTTCCCTCTTCTATCAAAAAAAAAAAAAAGGAAAAAAAAAAAAACAAAAAGAAAAAAGAAAAAACAAAGGAAAAAAGAAAAGAAAAAGAAAAAAGAAAATCATGCTACATCGATTTCTTTGAAACGCTCCGTGGAGCTGCGTGGAAATGTCTCCAAATTCTGTCTGGTTCTGGTCAGTGGCTCCTGGCCACTTCCCCGCTGGACTGCGCACAGGTGGAGGGCGCAGCCAGGAGGTGCAGGCGCCACGGCCCGATCGCGAGTCCCTCTCCCCTACCAACCAGAAAGAATGGGAAAGCAGGGTGATGGAGGACAGGGGAGACGAGAAAGTGGGGTGAAGAGAAGGAATGAGAGGGAAGCCGCTCCTATGGCCAAGGAAGGGAATTGGCTGAGAGAAGGCTCCTGGGGCTGACGCCCCCACTTGAAGCCCACAGGCTCGATGTTTGGTAAGGAATTGGCACAACCCCAAGACAGCCTTTGACACCAAAGGGGCGAAGAACCCCGTCTCCCACCAGAAGTGAACTCGCGGGGGGAGAATACCAGGGGAGCCCCCGGACCTCTTCTGTTCTTTCCACAGATGGCTGCAGGCTGGGTCCCGCCGGCCCTCTGCTGAGGGCTTCGCCGGATCCCTCGTGTATAGTGCTCGGGGCAGGGCCCAGGGGAGGACAGCAACGACCTGCCCCGGAAGAGCTTCTGGGGCCCATTTCTCCCCTGCCCTCACCAGCCCTCTGGAGGCTCTGGGCAAAGGCTGCTCAGGACCCCTCTTCCCACCTAACAGCCTACAATCGGCGGGGCGCCGGGAGGAAGCTGCCCCGGGTCGCCTCTGGACCTCATCTCCCTCTCCAGGACGATGACCGCGTGTCTGATGTCAGTATGGAACGGGAGGGAGCACAGGCCAGGAGGCCCCTCCTCCACCGTGCCCGCTCGGTGTCCCGGAGCTCCCGGCTCCCGGCAGAGGCCTTCGGTGTCACTGTGCGTGGCTCCGGGCCCGAGGACTCCACTCGGGGGGAGCAGCAGCTTCAGTTCAGGAACTTCCGGCATTTCTTGGCGCCGCAGTTGCAGGGCAGCTTGTTGCTGGCATCCTCGATGGGGAACTTGTAGTCGTAGGTGAGCTCCTCCCCGCGGTAGATCTTGCGCATGGCGAAGATGACGATGTGCTTCTGCCCGTCGATGTTGATGACCCGGGAGTAGCAGTTGGGCTCACAGGAGTGGTTGATGAAGCGCGCAGCATTTCCATGCATGGTGGCATCCACGACCTCTGAGTCATCGATCCGAAACATGTAGCAGCCAATGCCCTACGTGCCAAGGGAAGGGGAAGGTGCGCGCTGACTATGGCGTCCATCTGACACCACCCAGCCGCTCTGGGACAATGTTCACTCTCAACCTGCTCCCTCGCTAAACTCTACACGACAGCTCTACAGGTCCAGTGCTCTCCAGAGGAGAGAGGGGCCGGAGCGATAGCACAGCGGGCAGGGTGTTTGCTTTGCTCAAGGCCGACTGGGGTTTCGATCACTGGTGTCCCATATGGTCCCCCGAATACTGCCAGGAGTATGCCAGGAGTAATTTCTGACTGCAGAGCCAGGGGTTACCCCTGAGCATCACCGGGTATGACCCAAATAGACAAAAAGTCAAAAAAACAAGCAAACAAAAAAACCCTAAAAAAAAAAAAAAAAAACACCAAAAAAACAAAGGAAAGAAACCAAAAATTTGTGTCACTTGGAGTTCCTTTCCTGGGGAAGAGGGGCTTTTAGATATACCTGGGAGTGTTTGGGGGCCACTCCCAGCACTCAGGGGACCAAAGCTGGGGGCTCCCACATGTGCAGCACATGCTCAGTCCTGAGCTATCTCTCAGCTCTCCCTGTGTTTCTGATTCCAGGATCCACTCAAACATCCAAAGAGTTTCTGTGGGGTAATTCCGAGCATAGAGGATCGACACTCTTATGGGCCCCTCAGCAACTTCGGGTATGTTCAAATATTTTTTAAAAAGTCTCTGAATCAATAAAATACACAATTTCCTTTCTGGGAATACCCAGTATCTTGGGATATTGGGAGATGATAATGGATTTTCTTTGGTGGGGGTTGGAGGGGGTGAGTGGGGGCACACCTGGCGGTGCTGAGAGCTTACTCTTGGCTCAGCACTCAGGGCTCGTGGGACTATAGGGGGTTCTGGGGACCAACCCCAGCCAAGCACCCTATCTGGTCGTCCCACCTCTCCAGCCCCTGCTGGCGTTTTTCTCTGACAAAACGAAGCTGGGAACATGCACACGCGAGGCTCACCTTGCTGTCGTAATACTTCTCCCGCTTGTCAGTCTGGATGGAGCGGATGACGTTGCCGGCGTACTCGATCACCATCTCACCCGCGTCAATGTTTCTCTTACAAAACAGCCCCCGGCCGTGGATGGGAGACCTATGACAGCGATGGAAGAAAAATGGTCAGAAATCTCGCAAGGAAGGTTCATTGTGTGGATACTGAATAAGATCTTCCGTGGGGACAGCTCCCTAGTTGGGGCAAGCGGGAGCATAATCTGGATGCGTATGTCAAACGTTCTAGCACATGACCCAGGAGGAAGAGCCGACGGCCCTGGCTCTTGGCAGGAGCGGGACTTTCACACAGAGAGTGGTACAATGAAACCTCCAACGTTTGGCCCACTTTGACTATGGAAAACATCATTTGTTCTTCAGCACCCTCGAACTTCGGCCATACCTGTAGACCCCGACCGCCTCTTTCGAAGTCTTTTTCAAGTGTCGGAAACGCATGGGCATCGGCAGATCCATACTGGTGGCCCTCCTAAAGAGACGAGGCACAGGGTCACCCGACTGTGTGCAGGCAGGGCCCGGTCAGGCTCAGCTCACACTGGGGAGACGGCTACATGAGCTTCTTTAACTCAGCGCCTTACCGCGTCCGTCCTTCACTGGGAGCGCTTTGAGGCCAGTGTAGCCAAAGCTGACCGGGAGTCGGGGTAGGACTCTGTGTGTGCACAATGGGGAAAGGAAAACGGATGCCTTGACGGTTACTTAAACTTCTCCTCTCTAACACATTCCTCTTTGCCAGCCAGCAACGGCTACTTTCATAGCAACTCTACTTCATTTTCTTACTTCCACGGCTCAGGCATCGAGAATTGGGGCGCTTCCAGGCCCTTCTGCACTCGGGCTTACCGAGCTGACTTCAGCTGAACCTCCTCCTCCTCCTCATCGTTGGGGTTGTACTCCGGGGGCTGTCGGTGTTTAGAAGCCAGGAAGTTAAACATATCGAACGCTGACTTCCTGGAGCCAAGAGACGAGAGTCTATTCAGAGAAATGCTTGACGAGAAAGAAGGAAGGAGGGCATGGTTGATAGCCCTGGAAATCTCGAAGTCATGTGAGAAATTATTCATTAGATAATAAGATTATTAGGACTCCAAACTGTTTATGGGAAAGAAGGAAACTTGCCTCAGGTGGACTTCAGCCCTGGCCGAGCCATGAGGGTTCAGGGGGGGTTCGTTGGCCTCCTCTGGTTTGTGGAAGCGGAATTTGTAATTCCTACAGTGCTTGGCACCAGAGAGCTGCTCAATCAGGAACACAACCGCATCGTGGAGAATCCCGAGCATCCGCAAACCGTTCACACCTGCAGAAGCAACGACACCGGGACAGTGAGGAGCGCGTAGCTTAAGACCAAACAGGTATGAGAATATTCTGAGACCGGGAGGGACGGGCGGGGGTGGCGGTGGCGGTGAATGAACTCGTGGAGCCATACCTGCAAAGGAAAGCTGCTTCAGGCGGGCGTTGGACCGGGCTTCCTGGACTTTGTCTGTGAGGGACTTCCAGGCATCTGAGGAAAGAACATCCATGAACATCTTTGCTATGCCTCAACACCCCGTTGCTGGGGACACAAAGAGAACGGGAAACGCGAACTCACTGTGGCCCAGGGAAACTCAGTGGCTGAGCATCTGCCTGCAGGCCCAAGGCAGTGAAGCCCACCCCCCAAGAAATAAACAGAAGGAAAAGAGGGAAAAAAGAAAGTTCCCTACAGAGTGAGAGAAATAAAAGTTAACACACATCTGGGAAACAATGAGGGAGCGCAGAGCTACCCTGCTGGCAAGGGAGACCATCCAAACCGGAGCAGGAAGCCAGGCCGGAATGGGGAGAGTGTTCCCGACAAAGGCACGGGAGGGAAGGGGCAGGCATCTGTGGCACACAACCGGGAGGTAAGGCCAGACCTCATGTGCTCTGTGAAGGTGCGTGGTTTTGGGGGGCTTTACCCAGTGGTGTTGGGGGCTACTGAGACTGGGGTTGCTTGATCCTGGCAGTGCCTGCCCCCTGTGAAAACTTGTACCCAGCCCTTTGAGCCATCTCCCTGGGCTGTGTTGTAGAATCTCAATCAGTGCACAACTTTTCACATGCCTCCAAGACCAAAAACACTGCTCACATATCTGGCAGTGACGGGGCACTGCTGATGCTGCTGGGGGACCGTGGGCTGCTGGGACAAACCCTGGGGCTCCCTTAGGACTGTCGCTCCAGCCCCAGCCCAATCTAATGGAATCTCCTCACCTTCAATACTTTCTGCACAGATCTGAAAACCGTCATCGCTTGAAATTTCGAACACAAGTCCTTTCTTGGGCTTTTTCTCTGTGATGCTTTCCTTCCGCTTCTGTTCTTCCTGAAGCCAAAGCATCAATGGAGAGCTGAAATGACTTTCTTCTTCCTCCACAGGTTTCGGCTCTGTGAAGGAGAAAGCAGAGAAGGCCCAAGTGCTGTAGCAGAGCTCCATGCGCCCCTGCTCAGGCTGATAACTCTCTCGGTCCGGGTTCATCATTCCCATCTGCAGGTTACACAACTAAAGCTCCGAAAGGAAGGAGTCGGCTGAAGGACTAAAACCAGACTGTCTCACACGGCCAGTCTCAGAAGTACTGAGGGGTGTAGCTGGTGAGTGGCTTAGCCCACGGAACCATCTCTCTAGCTCTGTGGTTTTTCTTTTTTCTCTTTTTTGGTTTTTGGGTCACACTCAGTGATGCTCAGGGGTTACTCCTGGCTCTGCACTCAGAAATTACTCCTAGTGGTGCTAGGTGGACATTATGGGATGCCAGGGATTGAACTCGGATCAGCCGCGTGCAAGGCAAACACCTTACCCACCGTACTATCGCTCCGGCCCAGGTTTTTATTTTCTTTATGTTATGATGCCTCTGTGGTCAAAGTTTTTCAAAAAGTAACTTCCCCGATAGGTTCAAAGTTAAAAAAATAATCACAGTCAATACATACCTAGGGCTACCTCCTGGCTCTGCACTCAGGGATCACTCCTGGTAGATTTGGGGGACCACATGGGGTGCCAGGAATCCCAGGTCAGCTATGTGCGAGGCAAGAACCTTACTCGCTACACGATTTCTCTGGCCCCAGAGCTCTCTGATGCGAACATAACCCTAGCTTCCTGCTCAAATTTATTAAGTGCTTTGGAGCATATTCCGGGCTGTAACTCCAAATCTGGTAGTCTAACTTCAAGTCTACAGACTGAGCACAGGGCTGCATAGTTGTCTGAGCATCACTGGGAGTGACCGCTGAGGGCCGAGCCAGTAACAGCGTCACAGCACCACTGGGTGAGGCCTAGAGACAAAACCAAAACATCCAAACCTGATAGCCTTATAGACTATGAATGGTTCTTGGTATGCATTACTGGCTTAGGATAAGAGACCAGCGCAGGTGATAACTGCAGCTGAAAAAAGGGGAGAAGAGTGAGTTATAGGTTTTCGTTCTGCACCTTCAGTTGTGGTATTATTGGAGCATACAGACCGGGTGCCCCACGGCTGAGTTTCAGTTTACAACACAGGCTAGTCACTTCTTAGAAGCAAGGAATTTTTTTTTTTTAATTTTTTTTTTTAATCTGGAAAATGGGGAAGTAGAGCATAAGGGATTTTTATCTTACCGCTGGCTTTGAAAATCTGATTCCAACCTGTACCACCCACTCACCTGCACTCTCCGGTCCACTTGCTGGATTCTGTGTGGACTGAGTCTCAGGCAGAACAGCCACTTGCCTAAGTGAAAACAAAACCAACCATGAGATGACAAAAACTATCCCTCCCTGGCTCTGCGGCTGTGTCAGTTACACCAAACAAGGAAGAACAAGCCAGAGATGCTCTCTGCTCGCCCATGACTGCCTTTTCCCCACATTACCTTGGTAAGAGTCCTCCCCACACTGCCCCAGGAAGTCCTCCCCACACTGCCACTGTAAGTCCCTGCTTGTGGAACTACAGATCGTGTCCTTGGCATTTTTCTCAGACTCTTGACATTAGAAAATCTGAGGGGACACTGAGAAGCCACTGGGCGTGACCTGAGTGAGCGGCTGAACTCAAACCAGAGGCAAAACCATGGCTGGTGCACGGCTTCCCACTTCTGAAATCAGACGTCTTTTGAGCCATTTGTAAGTTTTGGTTTTTGAATCCAGAAAGTATATTGAAAGCTTTTCAGATTTTTATCTGATTTGTTCATGCAAATATCGTTAGATCAAAATTCCTTATTTTATCTTAGAGATACTTGTTGAACAGGCAGCTATGGCTACATTTAGACTTTGCTATTTCTATTCACTTAAAAATTGCAAAAAAAAAAATCTGTACCATGCACCAAACTGACCTAAAATAAATCTACTTATTAACTGAAAAAAAGAAAAAATCCAGAGATCTCAGAAAACAATGTAAATGGTAACCCCAGAACTGGAGGCAGCTGTTAACAAAATAAAGTGCTTCCATGTATGTGGCCCAGATACACATAAACTCAGGATAAAATGTGAAATAGGAAACTGAGTACAGAACAGCATGTAATACATTATTCATTTCATATAAAAAAAGTCATTCACAATCATATAGACATCACAATTTTGGGGGGATACCATACCAGGCGGTGCTCAGTGCTTACTCCTAGGTCTGCACTCAGGAACCACTCCTGGATGACTTAGAAACCACATGGAGTGCCAGGAATTGAACCCGGGTCGGCCTCATGCAAAACAAATGCCCTAGACTATTGTTCCAGCCTACAGATACTTATGTTTTTGTACGGAAGAAAACATTATGCGCAACGGGGCAGCTTGGGAGGTGGTTAGGCGGTTCAGTATATAAATAGGGCACCAGTATCCATTAAATAATTATAAATAATTTTATGCTTCTCTCCACTCCCCCCCCACGAGCACATATTACTTCCAATAAAAACACATTGGCATTGGGGCTGGAGCAATAGCACAGCGGGTAGGGCGTTTGCCTTGCACACAGCCAACATGGCCAACACAGGTTCGATTCCCAGCATCCCATATGGTCCCCTGAGCACCGCCAGGAGCAATTCCTGAGTGCATGAGCCAGGAGTAACCCCTGAGCATCGCCGGGTGTGACCCAAAAAGCAAAAAAAAAACAAAAAAAACAAAAAAAACAACCCACATTGGCAGGCTGGAGTGACAGAACAGTGGGGAGGATGCTTGCCTGGTATGCAGCTGACCAGGGTTCAACCTGGCATCCCAGGGTCCCCTGAGGATTTCCAGGAGTGATCCCTGAGTGCAGAGCCAGGAGAAAGCCCTGAGCAATGCTAGGTGGGGCCCCAACACCCAATCCAACCCAACCAAACCACCCTGGCAACAAAGATCACTAGGCATTGGGAGGAGCCGGTGGAGGGAGGCTTCCGGTAGGGGCGCGACTCTGCTCACCCCGCAGGCTGCACGCTGGCTGTGGGTGGTGCCTGCTCTGCACTTGCTGGGTCCTGGTGCTCAGCCTCGGTCCCAGCCGCGGGAGTCCTGAAATGGAACCGTTTGTATCTGCTCAAGCCAAGCCACTGGGGACTCTGTGCTGTCCAAACAAGGGGCTCCGGGGTTACGTGGGCAACGCTGACTGGGCGGGGCTCAAGGAGCCTTCTGTAACAGCAGCAACAGGCTTTCTCTTGGTGGGACGGTAGCCCCGTGGGCCCAGCCACACAGATGCTCTGCTCTGTCTCTCTTAAGGGTCATTATGAGCGAGAGCTCCCCGGGGAGCTACACGAGGTGACTTGGGCCTCCAGACAGGAATCCCTGGGCCTGAGCTCCTCGAGTCCCTGCGGAGGGGACAGAGGAACACAGGCCTGCTGGCACTAGAACTGAGGAGTCAGAGAAAACCCCCGTCCCCCCTGCCGAGAGAACTAAAATGTGCTTTTTAAGCCACCATTGTGAGGTGTGTATGGGTGGGGGCTTCAAAACCCCTAAGAGCCCCAAGTTGTGCGACTGGACAGCAGTGTCCCTCCCCTGAGACTACCATGTCAGCGGCCTTGCAACTGAGTGGCCAAGCCCAGCACGGCTCCCCCTGGGGTCTCTTACCCTGCGCCTGAGGCCTCGGCCGTCGGGCCGGGGTCTCGGTCCGGAATGTGAGCTTCAGCAGAGGGGGGCCGCGCGTGGGCGACTTTGTGCTTCTTGCCGTTCCCTTTGTCCAAAGGCAGCTGCAACCGTTTGATTTTTGGTTTGGGTTTCGTGGGCCCTGGCGCCGGGGGGCTTGCCGACTGCTGCCCGGAGGGGGGCGGCGAGCCCCCGGGCGAGGCTGAGCTGGTGTGCATAGTTGAGGGTGGAGCCTTGCTTGGCTCCAGCCCCAGGCTGGTCGGAGCATCCCCCGGCGGGGAGAAGCTGGCTCCACCGTGGGGCCCGGGTGCCGACTCCAGGTCGCACTGGGAGGACGGCGGCCCCGTCTTGCTGGCCAGGTGCTGGGTGCCATGCCGCAGCTGGTAGTGTTGTTCCTCCGTGTCTCCAGGAGGGGGCGCCGCGGCAATGCCCGGCGGCTGGGTGGAGGGGAGCACGCAGATGCTCGAGGCTGCGGTCATAGGAGTCTGTGCCGTGCCCAGCGGAGGGAACATTCCTGACGTCGGTGGCAAAGCCACGGGCTGTTCCTGAATCCCCAGGCTCTGCTGGCTGGCTTTGATGAGGAGATTGCTTATTGAGCCAATGTCAGGGGTGCCCAGCAGCCTTGGGTTGGCTAACGAGACGTGTCCGGGAACTGAGGTGCTACTTGTAGGGGTGGTTGTAGTTTGCATGGACACGACATTCAGGACGGAGGAACCGGATGCCAGGCCAGACACCGACCCTGACGTGAGGTGGCTGGTCTCCTGGCTTAGGGTGGAAGCGCCCGCCGCTGGGGCCGTTGCTCCTCCCACACTCGGGGGTAACAGGGGTGCCTGTTCAAAATACATGACGCCAGATTTAGACCGTTTTATGATGTTGGGGACGGTGCGGTGAGATGAAGTATTAAGTGAGCCCAAGTCTAAGAGATTGGGATGATTCGAGAGCTGGGAGGGTGTGAAGTTAATCAGTGTCATGTTGGGAACCACCTCGGAGGGGGCAATGTTGGGGGGAGTGCTAGAGGGAGCGAGTTTTTTATTCTTTCGGTTCTGCAGGCGCGATATGGGTCTTTTCTTGAGTCCAGAGGAAGGAGTGGCTACTGTGGTACTGAGGTCTGTCCTCTGGCTGGCTTCGGAAACCAAGAGCTGGGGGTCTGGAGGAGGCTGCACCCCGATCAGCAGGCCTGACGGGGGGCTGCTGATGCTGGGCGGGAAGCTACTTTGAGTAGCTGCAGGGAAGGAGTGTAAGTGCTGGTGATGAGGCATGGGGAGCAATCCTTTGCTAGCAGGAGGGAACAGAGACTGAGAGGCCGGCAAGCTGGCAGTGAGTCCCGTGGTGAGGGTGAGCCCACTTCCCATGGGCCCCAGGACGGAAGGACTGGTCTCCATCACAGTGGGCGCAGAGCTAACAGAAGAGGTCAACTGGATTTTTTGGGTGACTCCGTTGGGAAGCGTTTGGAGAACATAGAGCGGCTGCATGTTCTGGTTAACCACAATGAGTTTCTCAGTGGCTGCCTTCAGGTGGGGCGGAGTGGTCTGGACAGCCGCGTTAGAGATCTGAGACGGGCCTGGGCTATCAGTAGAATTGGGCACGTATTTCTGGTTCTGGATGGGAACGGAAGGGGAAACAGGTACCTGAAGGCCAGGAGTGCTACTGTTTCTAGTTAAATCCTGGCTGGCGCCGTGACCCGGCTCCACCGACCCACATGAGGGGCTGGCGATGTGCTCCGCGTCCATGTGTCCTGGGATGAAATGGTCCGGGGTCATGTGGCCTTCGGGGCCTGGGTCCACTCCTGGACTCAGCAGCGCCGCGTCCCCTTCCGAGGAAGTCACCGCCTTCTCCGGGATGGCGACCCTCTTGTCCCCCGAGTCTGTGATGACGGCGAGTCTGTTGGGGTTCTGGCTTGGGACGGTGGGGCTCCGGGTGGTGAGGACCGAGAGGTCGGACGGCAGCTCCAGCGGCAGCTCGAATTGCTCCTCGGCCGAGATGGAGGAGGAAACGCTGCTGTCCACGGGCTCCGCGGGCGGCAGCTGCTGAGAGAAGACCTCGAAGAGGCCCATGTCCTTCTCCCGGTTGCTGTCCAGACCCAGGCCTTCGCCGAGGTTCAGGAGCTCCGACGAGGACGACTCGGGGCTCTCGCCCAGAGCCTGCATGGACGGCGTGTTCTTGAGGACGAAGTCCATAATGTCAGAGGGCAGGATGTTCCCGCAGTCGTCGCTGTTGTTGTTGTCGGAGTCGGACTTCAGGAGCTCGGGGTTGTAGGTGTCCAGCAGGGTTTTGTCGGCGGGGGTGCTCGTGTGGACTCGGCGGCTGGACTCCAGCGAGCTGAGCTGGGCTTCCAGGGAGTCCTGGCCCTGGGCCTTCACCCTGCTGGCCGGGTGGCAGTTGTCCATCTTGGGCTCGCCTTTGTGGCCCACGGAAGTCTTGATGGCGTGCTCCTTGTCGCCCACCTCCTCGGGGCGGTCCAGCTTCAGGCTTTCGGTCCCGTTCTCTTTCCCGTTCCTTTTCGGGAGCTGGCTGCTTTTCCGTGTGGTGGCCGTGACGCTCGTGTCGCTCTCCGTGCCGTCGTCCACGCCGTCCAGCTGGGAGATTTTGGGCAGGTCGCACTGCTCCTCCTCCCGAAACAGGCTGTGCGACGCCAGCCGCTCCTCGGTGCCGGAGGCGATGACGGTCCTGGTGAAGTTGTAGTAGTACAAGTCGTCCTCGTCAGAGGTGCTCAGGTCATCGGCGCCGTCCACCTGGCCCTCGGCGGACCTCTTGCCCCGCTTCTTCCCCGTGGAGCTGCTGTAGAACGGAAGGTCTTCTTCCCCGTAGGAGCGGACTCCGTAGAGCGGCGTGAGCCCGAAGAACATGTTGGAGCGGGCCCGGGCGCTGCGGCGGGGGTAGCGCCGCTTGAAGGAGCCATCCTCCTGGGGCTTCGGGCCGTCTGGCAGCAGCACGGGCACGTTCTGGTAGCTGTTACTCTGCGTGTCCTGGGCCGAGGTATTGTTGGGGCTGGGCTGGACCCCCGGACCCTCTCCCGGACTTTCCGAGGCTGACGCTGCTTCGGTGGGAGAGGCCGACTCCATCTGCAAAGGGGAAACGGGGCTGCCTTCATTCAGGGCGTTCTTGGACTGAGCCTCACTCTCCATTTTGAGAGGCGTCAGTGTGACCTTCACTGTCCGCTTCCGGGGTGTTGGTGACTCTCTGGCAGAGCCTTCTGCTTGCATGGATGGTGCTTTCGGGGCGCCAGGAAGAGAAAGGGCTTTGTCCCCGACCTTCTCCGAGGAAATATTATTACACGGCCGATGCCCCATGAACTCGGGAGTCAAGACCTCGTCAGCGAAGTTGGGCGGCTTGAGGCTGCCTTCTTCCCTGGCTGCGGCAGACCCGGGGTCCGGGAAAGTGGCCATGAGGTGCTTGTCGTGCTTCTCCTTGAAAGGCTCCTTGCTGGCTTTCTTGCCCTTGAGCCGCCGGTCTCTGGAGTTGGAGCCCGTGTGCTCACCAACAAGGGACGCTCGGCTACTCCCAGCAGACAGCTTAAAGCCTTTGACATCACCGTCTTCATCGGGAGGGGCTTTCCCGGACGGATTCAGGTCCGGCTGTGGATCTCGATCATTCTTTTGGCCCCTCGAGTGGAGCGGTGGGAAGGAGAGAGCCTCTCGAGAAGCAAACGGTGCCGAAGACAGTTCAGCAAACGCGCCGAGTCTACTGACGTTGACTTCTCCGGCTGAGGAGTTGTGCGAGGCCAGTCTGGGGATGCCAGGGTAAGCCACGTTATGCACAGATCCCTCCAAACTCTTGGGAGCTGGCATTTTCGTCTTCTCTCCTTTTGAGGAAGAGCTCTTGGGGGCAGGGTCGAAAGCACTGGAATGCTTCAGGTCTGAAGGGGAAGACCCATCTGCGTGACTGGCCTTGGTGCCCGCAGTGAGCACCGTCCTCTGCAGATTGGAAGAGGCAGAAGTGTTTGGCCCTGAACTTGAATTCAGCGGCCCGGCGGCATGATCCACGGCTTTGGCACTTGACTCGATATCTGCGGTGGTCCCGATGGTTGAAACAGAGTGTGCAGTCCCCGTTCTCATTGGGGACATTATCCGGAGTTTAGACCGCTGGGGTGACAAGGAAGAAGTACTGTGACGCCTGGAGCCAATGCTTCGGAGGCCGGAGGACAGTAAAGGGTCCCCCACTGTGACGATTTCATGCGTGGTCGGGGTAGGGCTTCCTAAACAGAAGAGAAAAAGCAATACAATCCATTACTGTCAGAGCGAGCATGGGGACACTGCTAGTTTCAGTGACGGGGCAATGAATGACTGACAGGGAACCGCTAATCAACACTTCCAACGGCGCAGTAGGCACTAAGAGGATGCCGAGAACTAAGCCCATCTCCGCTCTGACCTTCTTGGGTCAGGGAGGTGAGTGAAGTCCTTTACCTGCAGACGGCAGAGGCCGACAGCCAGGGGATCTCTGTGTCGGAGAGTAACTGGGGGTTCGAATCCTGGAGGCCTTTGGGATGACGTGGTAATAGTAGGAGCCAGAGGTCTGGGAATGAGGTCGGTCTGGTGATGGGGGACTTATAATATCAGTTGTGTTTTGACTTTCTTTAGATGAAATTTCTGTGGTAGGAAGTAAAGACTCTTACCAAATGTTTCCAGCAAAAGTATCAGACAATGAGGCCAGAGAGACAGTATAGTGGGTAAGGTGCTTGCCCTGCACACGGTCAACCCAAGTTCTATCACTGGAACCCCATAGGGTCCTCTGAGCCCACCAAGAGTGAACCAGAAAGCAGAGCAAGGAGTAAGCCCTGAGAGCTGCCAGGTGTAGCCCCAATACCAAAATCAAAACTGAAAGCATCAAACAAATGAACCAAAAAGAAGCACGTCAAACTAGAAACAAGTCAGTCCTCCCAGAGGGACTTCCCACCCTTCAAGCAGTGAGTGCTTCCCCGAAACTTAATTCCGCTCCCACTTTGCTCAAAGACTGACCGGTCACCGCCGTTGGACTATGGGCAATGGTCCTGTTCTCGTCGTGCTCCACGGTGCTGTTGATGTCGGGCTCCAGCGCCGGAGGGCGGCATTCCACGATCTTGCATGTGTACACACAGCGCTTGCGGGCATCCGTGGTGCTCCAGTACACCCTGGAACATCTGGAAACACAGTGTCCACACCCCATGAGAGAGACCCATCAAAGCCGCTTTTGAGTCTCAGATCCTGACCTTCACTTGAGAGAATTGAGCTCCAGTGGCAGATCTCCGCAGTGAAGGGGTTCTAAGCGTATCGGGTCTTTGTCTTTTACTAGCCTCTCAGGAACAACAACGTCCTATTTTAAAATGGTACTGTAAGCAGTTGGACAATTTCATTTATAAGGAAATGGGCTGGAGCGATAGCACAGCGGGTAGGGCGTTCGCCTTACAAGCGGCCAACATGGCCGACCCGAGTTCGATTCCTCCGCCCCTCTCGGAGAGCCCGGCAAGCTACCGAGAGTATTGGATATGCCAGACACAGTAACAACAAAGTCTCCAATGGAGACGTTACTGGGCCCGCTCGAGCAAATCGACGATCAACGGGAGGGCCTTTACCTTTACCTTTACTGTAAGCAGGGGACAAGAGTAGAATATCCTAAAACACAGAGAAGAAGAAATCCTGCTGCTGCTACACGGAACGGTCACTGGCATGAAGGAAGAAGCTGCCGGTGACTGTGAGGAAGGATTAAACCTGAGGTATTTCCTTTGGGAGAAACGTCCCAGGGCACGAGGCAAACAGAACTGCTTCAAATTGGCTGGGTGTTGATGGAGCCTGGTTTCTACAAAGAGCTGCCAGCGAGTTAAATGTGGAATTTAAAACAGACTGTTGTCAGAACTGAATGCAGAATAAACAGAAGTATATATAGTGAGATGAAATTCCAAGAGAAAGCAGAATGGAATTCTGAATTTGCACAATTAACATGAGATGTTTGAACTGATAGGTAAAGTCTTACTATAGAACCTGATTATTCATTATTTTATTTAGAAGGACCTATAAAAGGTAAAATTGAGGAGAGGTGTTTGATCCATGACAACAATATGGACTTTGAATCTCAGAGAACAAACCTTAGCAGAATTTTAAAAGACTGGCCTTGTGTGTTCTATTTAGGTTTCAAAGGGAAATGATTCCGGAATGATGTGAATTATACTGTACTTTGAGAACTGGAGTTAACTAAAGTAAACAAAGGGCTACTTTAGCCCCAGTCTGGGAGTGGAAAGAGTTAAGTTTTTGAGCCAGCGAGTGAGGTTCTGCCTCTATCGAACTTGCAGGGGTCGCTGTCATCTAGTGCTGGAGCTACTTACTGGTATCCGATGGGAAAGAGCTTATCTTCACAGTCCGAGAGATCGTTCAGAATCCCCAAGCAGTCAATAGTCATGGAGCCTGCCCAAGAAAAGGAGCGCTGGTTAAAGAAGATGCCACGGAACTCACTGTCCCTGACAACTAGAACGTGTCCTGGGGACCCAGCCAGCCTGCACCCTCAAACAAGGCCTGTATCCTACCGATCATCATGTGGATATTCTCCGGTTCCAAACCATTGAGAAACTTCCTTCTCAAGCTGATTCCTTCGAAGTCCACAAACACCCTTCTGAAAACTTCAAATCCATTCTCGGGAACCACCTGAAGTGAAAGCCCGAGAGAGTTATTAATAGCCTGTCTTAGAGAAGTGCTGAGTGATCTCAGCCCCCTTCAGCTTCATAGCAACCCCCCCCCCCCCCCCCCCACTGCTGCTACGAGGGACAACTCTAGGAAAACCTAATAGGAAGGCAAAGCAGAGTCTGCCATCCATTTTCCAGGGCGGTTTTTCCTGAATTCTCAGAGAAGTTGAAAAACAGCTAAAGGTTGTACCTCGCCTTTGATCAAATCCCGATGCCGCTGACAATATACTTTTTTATCATCCAGAAAGACGCAGTTCTTGGCTCGGGAACACATGAAGTGATAGTTGCTGGTGCAGGAGGTGAGGCAGCAACCCACAGTGGCTCCTGGTTTTTGGCAGAATTCGCATCTCTAACAATCCAGAGAGCAGAGCCTTAGAGGGACTCCCAGCCATCTCCCACTCCGCTCCTCCTCCCCGACGGAACCCCCCCACTCAGGCTTTCCAAGAGCTCGTGTTTCTCCTGGCTGGCCTGCTGGATTAGACTGTAGCGAGGAGAAGAAGCCTCTTTGACAAACCCTCTCTCTTATTGTCCATGGGGCCCTTTGATGATTACATTAAGATACAGCAATTAGATTTCAAACAGGGACCTAATTAGTTACTTCCCCTCGGGAGACACAAGTGATTTAGAAAGATGAAACTCTGGCGATCAATGCTAAGAGCATCACCTTGCTAGAAAGCTATTAGATCTCCCCAGAAAACTTAATTCTAAAAGGATTATTCTCATTACAAACATAAGGATTCTCCAGTTACCAGGCTTAACAGATAAACCTATCATATGATTCAAAGATCTCCAAAAACTAACCTGTAAGTCACCACCTTATTTTGTCAGCCATGATCTGGGTTTCTCTCCAGGGAAGAATTTCTGTGTTCTTTGCACAACTTACTTTTCTCTATATTTGTTTTCGTTGATAATCCTTTATCTTGCCTTCCCTGTCTCTCACAATATGGCTTTTTTTTTTCTTTTTGGGTCATACCCAGTGATGCTCAGGGGTTACTCCTGGCTCATGCACTCAGGAATTACTCCTGGAGGTGCTTGGGGGACCATATGGGATGCTGGGGATCCAACCCGGGTTGGCCGTTTACAAGGCAAATGCCTCACCCACTGTGCTATCACTCCGGCCCCACAACATGGCTTTTATAATTTCCCTCCCTTAACACTGCTTACCAGTCAATTTCCCCACACTTGTGTGTGTGCGTGTATGCGTGTATAATTATGTGGGTTTCTCCTAAAGGACCTGAGAATGTTGATTCAACTGGGAGCTTTGAGATCACTCTGTCTAAATCACAATATATTAACAATGATCTGACACCTGTGAATCACTTCTCAAATTAGATAAAACTTAAGTCTTTAAAAAATGTCCTCTGCACTAATCGCTCCAGAGCCAGAACAGTAATGTATCCACAGAACACACAGGTATGTTTCATTAGCTACTGCTGAAGAAACTTTAGGAAACCCGAGGGAAAGCAGCTTAGTTTTCTGTTTTTTCCCGTGTTTTGGGAGACGCCAGCAGTGCTCAGTTATGCAAGGCTTGAGTGCCCCAGTCGCTCTGCACTCTCTCCAGCTCAAGAGGGAATCTTTTCTAGAAATTTCCCCACAAGTTCTTACCAGCTGTTTGCCCCTGATCACTGCCATATGCACATTCTTTAATGATCCATCATCATCTTCAAACACTTCCGCTGACCACAAAGCACAATTTACATGTGTCCACTCATTTTGGCCAATGTAGAGCAAACGGCCAGCATCCTAAGAGACAAAGAAAGTTTTTCTTGGGATCAGCTTTATATCAGGCAAGACACTGTTGATATATCAACTAATAATTCTTTGTCTCTCTCTTTTTTGTGTTGCTGGAGACCAAGCCGAGGCCTGTACACAGGCCAGGCCCTCTGCCAGGAGCTGCACCTCCAGCTCCCATCATAATTCCTTAACTTAAAAATGAAGAAAGTCACCATTTGGGGACTGGAGTGATAGTACAGTGAGTAGGGTGTTTGCCTTGCATGCAGCCGACCTGGGTTTGATCCCCGGCATCCCATATGGTCCATCCATGCACCGCCAGGAGTAATTCCTGAGTGCAGAGCCAGGAGAAACCCCTGAGCATCGATGGGTATGATCCCCCGAAAAAAAGCAAAAAAAAGAAAAAAGTCACTATTAAGTTTTGTTCAGGGATAACTCTTCAGAGTGCTGGGGATTAAACTGGGGTCAGCTGCATATAGACAAGTCCCTTACCTCCAATATTATCTCTCCAGTCTCAGTTAAATTTTGTTTTTCAATTTTTATTTTTTTCTTTTTGAGTCACACCCGGCGATGCACAGGGGTTACTCCTGGCTCATGCACTCAGAAATTACTCCTGGCGGTGCTCAGGGGACCCTACGGGATGCTGGTAATTGAACCCGGGTCAGCTGCATGCAAGGCAAATGCCTTACCCGCTGTACTATTATCGCTCCAGCCCCTTTTTTTAAAATTTTAATTTTTTTCTTGGGGATTTTGAGGCCACACCTGGCAGTGCTTAGGGAACCATACAGCGCGAAAAGCATGCGGAGTAGATGCTGTAACCACTGAACCAACTCTCTGGCCCTTGCTCTTAAATTTTAAAGATGAAAATGTGGGCCAAAGGGGCTAGAGCAATAGCACAGCGGGTAGGGCATTTGCCTTGCACGCGGCCAATCCGGGTTTGATTCCCAGCATCCCATATGGACCCCTGAGCACCGCCAGGGATAATTCCTGAGCACAGAGCCAGGAGGAACCCCTGTGCATTGCCAGGTGTGACCCAAAAAGCAAAAAAAAAAAAAAAAAAAAAAAAAAAAGTGGGCCGAGAAGAGTAGAGAGGTTAGGGTACTTGTAAGTGGCTGACCCTGGTTTAATCCCTGGCATAGCTTATAGTCCCCCAAGCACTGCCAGGACCACACCCCTGGGCATGACCTTCAGCCCACAGCCCCACCCCCCCAAAAAAAAACAAAGATAAAAGTGAGACCGATAGTAATAGGTCAGCTTCTTGAGCCCAGGCCAGTGAGGAGGCAGAGAGGCACAGGTGTGTATCTAGGCAGCCAGCCAGAACTGAAGCACTTGATCATTTGGCTCTGCTACAGTCAAAACAATCTCTTTTATATGCATTTTCCAACTTATCCAATTTCTAAAAATCTTTTGAGGAAGTTGCTACAGACATTACTATACACTAGCAAGTTAAAGGTAAAAGGCCCTCCTGTTGATTGTCGATTTGCTCGAGCGGGCCCAGTAACGTCTCCATTGGAGACTTTGTTGTTACTGTGTTTGGCATATTGAATAATTTAAGATAAATCATTTGTGGGTTTTCCCTCTTGTTTCTTTTTCTTCCTTTATGTTACTTATTTTTTTGCTTTTTGGGGCACACCTGGCGATGCACAGGGGCTACTCCTGGCTTTGCACTCAGGAATTATCCCTGGCGTTGCTCAGGGAACCATATGGGATGCTGGGAATTGAACCCAGGCCAGCCGCATGCAAGGCAAAAGCCCTACCCGCTGTGCTATTGCTCCAGCCCCCTATTTTTTTTTTAAGTGCTTCCAGGTAGGGGCTGGAGCAATAGCACAGCGGGTAGGGCGTTTGCCTTGCATGCGGCCGACCTGGGTTTGATTCCCAGCATCCCATATGGTCCCCCGAGCACCACCAGGGGTAACTCCTGAGTGCAAAGCCAGGAGTAACCCCTGAACATCGCTGTGTGTGATCCAAAACAAAAAAAAAAAGTGGTTCCAGGTATAGAAGGTTGAGATTCCTTGTATGAGACATGTACTCTGCTATTGAGTGACAGCCCTGGTCAAGGCAAACCACATTTAATTCATTTTTGTGATGCCAGGAACCAGATCCAGGGCCTTACCCATGCAAGGACTGTATTCTACCATTGAGCTACACCCTTGATGGGTGGACTATATTTGGGAGGGCAGGGTGTCATACCCAGTGCTCAGGGAGCCATGTATGGTACTGGGGAATGAATTAGGGTTGGCCACATGCAAAGCAATAGCTTAAACCACTTCAATATCTATCTGGCCCCACAAATTATTTTATTTTTTTAAATTTAATTAAAAAAGCTTTTTGCTTTTTGCTTTCTGGGATCACACCCAGCGATGCTCAGGGGTTACTCTTAGCTCTGCACTCATGGATTACTCTTGGCAGTGCTCTGGGGACCATATGGGATGCCTGGTTACCGGTGTGCAAGGCATATGTCCTGCCCTCTGTACGATTGCTCTGGACCCCTCACAATCTATTTTGTTAATTTATTTGGGGGTTTTGTAGGGCCACAGCTGGCAGTGCTCAGGGTGTACTCCTGGCTCTGCGCCCAGGGGACCATACGGAGTGCTGGGGATTGAACCTGGGTTGAAGCTGCATGCAAGGAAAATGCCTTTCCCACCGTACTACTGCTCTCGCTAACAATCTCTACTTTAAACCAAAAAATTGAATTACAGAAAAAAGACTCCAACTGCCACAATCTAACGTGACACTCAGGAATAACTGGCTGTATGCAGCCACCAAGTTCACACAGGAAACTGAGTTCCGGGGGAGTTGGGGGATCGGGGTCTGGCCCCTGAGTACTCACATTGGCACTGTCGTCGCCATACATCAAACACAGTGCACACTGTCTGTTGTCTTCTATGCCAGGGGGTGGGTTCAGTTCTGGACTATCTTCTCGACTCCTATCAGTACCTTGGAACCCATAAGAGATCCCATTAAAATTGGTGATACTCTGGTTTCCAGGGCAAAACCTGACAATTCCACTTAAAATGCTTATAAGCAATAAACTTCCAAAAGCTGTTAAAATTTATGCTACTTCACCTGTTGGAATACAACAATTCCTTGATAATATTTTAAATAAATAAAAAAATATATATATTTTTTGGCGCGGGAGGCTTTCCCCAGCACTGCAAAACACCAGGGTCTAGGTGGCAGTGTGAGGGCATCTGGTGCTGGGGACCAAACCTGGTGCCCTGGGGATAGAAGACTGGGCTCCTCTCAGACCTTGGGGTCATCTCCCTGGCCTGAAAATATCACAATCTCATTTGTGTTAAAATACACCCTGAATTGTTGGGAGGATCCTCCCAGGATGGGAGAAGCATACTGAAAGTAGACTATAGAGCAAACATGATTGCCACTCTGTGCCTCTTTTACAAACCACAGCACCCAACAGGAGAGAGAGAACAAAGGGGAATGCCCTGCCATAGAGGCAGGGTGGGATGGGGTGTGGGGAGTGGGGGGTGGGAGGGATACTGGGATCCGTGGTGGTGGAAAATGGGCACTGGTGGAGGGATGGGTACTTGATCATTGTATAACTGAAACCCAAGCACAAAAATTTGTCAGTCTACAACTGTACCTCATGGTGTTTCACTAATAAAAATTAAAAAAAAAAATACACCCTGAAGTTCTTCTTTCTGCTACCTGAGTACATTAACTGCAGGTCCACAGAGTCAGTCACTCACATCTAGAGAGAAATGAAGATAACCTTTCATTGGTTGCCTTACTCAAAATCGGTGGAGTAGGAGGATGAAGAGGAGTGGGTGAGTCAGGTTCTCCAGGCCCTTTAGGTTTGGGAGCTGGAATGATCTTCTTCATTAAAGGAGGTTGCTCAGTGTGGCTGTTCTCCTCTCGCTCCTGCCACTGAGCATAGTTATGGTCAAGTGAAGGCGGAAGCACTGCGTTTGGTAACATCCCACTGCTGGAAAGAATCAATTCAACAAGGATTGATGGAGTACCTATGACAGGCCCAGAACTACGCAAAACAAAATCTTCTTCTTCTTTTATTTATTTATTTTTTTTTTAAAGATTTTTGGGCCACATTCGGCAATGCTTGTTATTTCTGGTTTTATGCCTAGGAATTACTCTGTGTGAGCTTGGGGGACATATGGGGTGCCAGGGATCGAATCCAGGTCGGCTGAATGCAAGGCAAGCACCCTACCCGCTGTACTATCTCACCAGCCCGCAAAACAAATTCTTGGTACCATCAGGTTCGGCTCGTGCAAACATCACTCTCAAAATCTAACAAGTCTCAGAGAACTTGAAAACTGCCCTGTGTCCTGACCAAAAATGCCTAAAAAGGACTTGATTATTTAAAATAAATAAAGTGATGTTTTATTCTTAGTTAACTTCTCAAAACAAGCTCTGACCTTATCTAAGAATCAAAAGGATTTTCTGCAAAGTAAAGTTAAAAGGGTGAATTCCTGCATCAGAGAGAGCACTGTTTGAATGGAATCAAACAGGACAGTCAGAGTAAGCCTGAATTGGACTTCTTGCACAGCATGTGTACTGGATATATGTGCAAGGTCAACCAAGGCCCTAACCAACAGTGCACAGAGGAAGTAAAGAGAAAGAGCCTGCAATAAGAAGTGTTATTTTTCCACCAGCACTGAATTGGAATTAGACAGTTTTGTTTTGCTTTTGCAGCACTGAGCATCAAGCCCAGGGCATTACACACAGGAGCGAGGAGGCAAGCTCTCTACCACTGAGACACAGGTTTTAGGGGAAAGAAGTTTTAGGGGAGATTGGGCACTTTCAGGGTGGTATGGGCATAGGACTGAAAGAAGTTTCAGAGGACCGTTAAATATAAAGACCTACTCTGAAACACTTCAATAGAGAAAGGGAAGAACTTCTGTACTTCTGCTAGATGATGAAGAGAATCAAGGTTATACTCAATTAACTTACTTGCTCGATACTTTGTTTGGCTCCCAAAATCTGGACTTTTTGACACTGAACCATGGAAAAACACGTTCCATTTGCTAACAAACAAACAAGCAAGAAAACGTAAGCATGTAAATGTCATTTGGTAACTACATAAAACTTAACCATTTCCCCCCAAGATTCTCTGTCAGCAAGAGGACAATTTCAGGTCACCAAGGGATCTTGGCACCCACTCTGGCAATGTCACCGACTTCCTCCCAAAGAATCAGAAGAACATATTAAACCAAAGATGTTTTACACATATGGCAAAGCAAATCGCAGAAGAGAACAATCTGTCCTATTCAAGGGGTGATCCCCCACAGATAAGCATTCAAAACATGAATTGTAAGTGATACTCACCCGAATAAAGAAGGACTTGACCATACTGTTGGCCTTTTTAACCTCCGGCTGCCCTCCATCGGAATTCATGGCTGCTTGGATGATCTTCACGATATCATCACTGAACTCCAACTGGAGGCAAAAAACAGTGTTACTTAACCATCACACCCTGTGCTCTCAAAACCACGTCCCCCTTCCTCTGAAGGCATTCTGCATGGAAGATGCACACCCTATTTTTGTCGTGCAGTGTAATCTCATTGTTGGCAGAGGCCTTTGGGATTCGTTTCACAATTAACATTGCAGTCGAGAGATGCCAGGCAAGTAAGGCAAGAATGCAGCAAGTTAGTTGTGCCATGGTGACGTATCCAAGCAGAGCCATACCTGGTACTAAACCAAAATTAACAATCAAAGAGAAACCATGATCCAGTAGAAGATCAGTATTAAAATATTATTAGCAGATAATCTTCTTTGAGATTAATTTGGTGAGATTATTAGAACAACCATCTTCCAACAAATAAATACCCCATAGAGATACTATTTCTATTTGATCTCAGAGGGGGTGAGCCAACAAAGTTCTCTATAGCACTTTCACGTAAACTTCTTCATACGATAGAAAAATAATTTTGAAGGGCTGGAGTGATAGTATAGTGCAGAGGGCATTTGCCTTGCACCTGGCAGACCTGAGTTCGACATCCGGCATCCCATATGATCCCCCAAGCACATTCAGGAGTAATTCCTGAGTGCAGAGCCAGGAGGAAGCCCTGAGCATGGCCCAAAGAACAAAAAAGGAAAAGAAAAAGAAAGAAGTTTGAAAGAGCTCAAAAAGATAGAATCATTTTAAGACACGCCCTTCCCTATCATAATGCATCTTTTGAAGCACAGAGCTAAAATAGCACCCATATTTTTAGGTAGAGTCACGTGACGTTGCTAAATATAATTCAAATCATCTGGAGTGCACACCCCGACCTCATCTACCCCTTGAGACCTGAAGCAACTCAGCGGGTATGGAGACCGGGTGGTGTGTGGCTGAGACATACCACAGAGGTGTAGTTCCCTTGGTCCATTTTCCGTTTGACTCCTTCCAGGTCTAAAGGCTGCTGGTCTTCCTGCTTGCTGACTTCGGTAAGCACTGGTGGGTCGGGTCCTTCCGGGGAGCTGCGGGAAGGTATACTCTCCTCCGTTTCAGGGTTTAAGTCTGGGGGCTTGGCAGCCTGTTGCCAGAAAAGAGATGCTCCTTTTACCTCATGCAGGGTTCTTGCAATAACTTATTTATCTTTGCGGGGGGCGGGGGGCACACTCTGCAATAGCTTGGGGGTAGCTCCTGGCGGTGAGCAGGGGCCCACAGTGGGCCTCCTGCGTGAAAAGCACATTAGCCGCCTGAGTCATCTCCTCAGCCCGATACAAAAGGTTTCTTAATAAAACAAAATCGAGGAGCTGGAGCAATAGTACAGCTGGTAGGGCGTTTGCCTTGCACGAGGCTGATCCGGGTCCAATTCCCAGCATCCCATATGGTTCCCTGAGCACCGCCAGGAGTAATTCCTGAGTGCAAAGCCAGGAGTAACCCCTGTGCATTGCTGGGTGTGACCCAAAAAGCCAAAATAAACAGAAAGATAAATAAATAAAAATAAAATAAAATTGAGGCACCCAGGGGGCTGGAGCGATTGTACAGCGGGTAGGGCGTTTGCCTTGCATGCGGCCGACCTGGGTTCAATTCCCAGCATCCCATATTTGGGTGTGACCCCAAAAGCCAAAAATAAATAAAAAAATAAAAAAAATAAAAATGAGACACCCAGGAAAATCCTTTGAATATCAACGAGGATGGGGGCAGGGAAGTGGTTGTGAGAGGTCCCGGGCCTGGCGGAACCCTGCACTGCTTCGCTCTCGGAGCGCGGAGATCTGCACTCCACGGACCCGCAGGGACCCACCTGTCGGTAACGCAACAAGTGACTGGTGGTTCGGGAGTTCAACAGCGCGGTCAGGACTTGCTTCAGGGAGAGCTGCAGCTCCTTCTCCAGGGCCAGCCGCCACTCGGCAGGGTGCCGCTCAGTGCAGTTCACACAAGTGTAGGCCACACTCTCGGGCAGGTTAGACAGAATCTCGTACATCTCATCTAGGAAAACAAAACAGACACTGATGAGGGATTCGAAGGAACAGGAGAGTGGAAGAAGAGCAAACTATTCCACTAAGCTCACTCTGAACCTACGCATCAGCAGCACTGTGAAGATTCCTTTTTGGGGGTCACACGCAGCAATACACAGGGGTTACTCTTGCCTCTGCACCCAGGAATTACTCCTGCCAGTGCTCAGGGGACCCTAAGGGATGCTGGGATCGAACTTGGATTGGCCGTGTGCAAAGCAAACACCCTCCCTGCCGTATGAATGCTCTAGACCTGCACTGTCAAGATTCTAACGTTCCTTAGGATCTCAGATGTACTCAATTTTACAAAGGACACTCTTTTTTTTTTGCTTTTTGGGTTACACCTGGCGATGCCCAGGGGTTACTCCTGGCTCTGCACTCAGGAATTACCCCTGGCGGTGCTCAGGGGACCATATGGGATGCTGGGAATCGAACCCGGGTCGGCCTCATGCAAAGCAAATGCCCTATCCGCTGTGCTATTGCTCCAGCCAGCCCCAAGGACGCTCTTTTTATGATTTGTGGGTTTGTTTGGGGGTTACACTTGGCTGGAGTTATCATGCATTGCCAGAAATGGCATCTGGGTGTCCTGCAGTAAAGTAAACGGTCAGCTTCATGAGTTCCCTCCCAGTCTCCTTTTGTTTCCGAGGCCACGACCTGCTGTCCAGTGCTCAGGGCTCCCTCCCGGCTGGGCCTGCCATAGGGCTGGAACCCGAGGGACCTGCTATTCTTTCCAGCCCTCACGGGGACATTCTTAACACGAATCAGGATTTGGTCAAAGAGATACAGCAATACTTTAAAGAAATATGTTTAAGACCAAGGAGTATAAGTTTAATATAACATTGCTTGACTAGAGGCCCAAATTTTTGGAAAATATTTAAGAAGGTTTTGAATAACGACACTACCGGCCTTCGAGGCTGACACTACCCTGGAGACTAGAAAGAAAGAAGTAAGTGTAATAAAAAGACTCCAACCTTCTGTACCTGAAAGATTCTCGCACTTGGAGTGGACCCAGCGGTCACACTTCCCACATTGCATCATCTTGCTCTCATAGTCATCATCGTCGTAGCATTTATCGCACAGAGGACAGAAGTTTCCTGAAAGCAAAGCAGAGTTTTCGGCAGTGAGTTTGGGCTTCGACTTTGACTCACCCCCGTCAACCTGCTCTAACAAGCAAACCTCCATGTTGTTATGGAATCACTGCCAAATGCTAGACCCACCCACAGAAAGTTGTCGCCTGTGGATTCGGAACTCTCAGACTTAGCCACTAGGTCCCCAAGGGACCTCAGACGAAGGCCAATGGCCACAAGGCAAGAGCTTTAATCCTCAGCTGTCTCCCAGCACCCTAGGCTTGCATTTTTTAAAAAGGGATAAGATAGAGGGAAAATGCCTAATTGATACTTTTAACTTATTCTTGGTGCTTTTTACTTCAGAGCATCAAGTAACACTTGCTAAATTCAGCATCACTTACAAGCTACATTAATTTGTTCTCTGTATCCTTCTTTGTTTTTTTTGCTTCATAGTCTTAACACTGAGACTTAGTATTTTGTTTTCGTGCCACGCCCAGCTGGTGCTCAGGGCTTTCACCTGTCTCTGAGCTCTTATGAGGTGTCAGGGATCAAACCCAGGTCCCTACCTGCTAGACCAACTGATCTGAGCCCAAGACTTTTTTTTTCCTTTTTGGGTCATACCCAGTGATGCACAGGGGTCACTCCTGGCTTTGCACTCAGGAATCACTCGTGGTGATGCTTAGGGGACCATATGGGATACTGGGGATCAAACATGAGTCGGCCACGTGCAAGGCAAATGCCCTATCCACTGTGCTATCACTCTAGTCCCTCCAATACTTATTTTTAAAAGCTCCAACATTGAACTTCATATCTTTATTATCTCAGTCAGTGAAAAGTTTAATGCATTAGCTACAAATTTTCTTTAGTATAACTACTGAAGTAAAAAAGCTTATCTAAGTAGCACCAAGAATCACTTCTGAAAGAATCTAAGACAGATGCACCTCACGGTGGGAAATACTGGCTCAGAGCATTTCTTCATGACTTAAAAAGTCACCTTCCCTTATAAAGTTAAAACAGAAAAAAACACCACAACATTTTCATTGCTATAATTACTTCTGTAAAGCACAAAGAGAGAGGGAAGAAGGAAGGAAGGGAGGAGGGAGAGAGATAAGGAGGGAAGGAGGAAAAGAAGGAGAGGGAGGAAGACAGGGAGGAAAAAAGAGGGTGAGAGGGATGGATGGAAGGAAAGGAAGGAAGGAAGGAAGGAAGGAACCATCTAGGGACCTAATGAACTTAATGGTATCCCTGAATGGCATCCCCGACATGGTGTGTCATTTTTCATCTTCCTCTACTGGAATATCCAGTTCACCCCGCAACTCCCAAGTGTCCTCTTTAAAGTTGCAGAAAAGGTGCTGAGTACCTTTTGCAAAGAGTTTGGCACAATCGTGGCACAGGGAGAAGTCATGAGACCACTGTGCATCCCAGCCTTTGCCTGGTGTTGTGGCCCCACAGCTCTTGCAGCGAACACACTTGGTACAGATCTGGGATAAAGGAAAGGAGACTTGTGAGGAACCCTCTGTTCGAGCAGCTCTCTTCCGCATCGCTTTCTAGAGCACTTCTCTTCCCAGGTGGCTTTTCCTAATAATAGAGGCAAAAACTATCCACCAACTCCTCCAGGATGCCCCGTGACAAGTGTGCTGAAAACAGTAGAAAGTGTGTCTCACCCAAACTTTCTTTTTCTTGGTGGGTTTGGTGGGGTAATTTGGTCCCAGGCACTCAGGGTGATAGCTGTTTCGGCACTTATTACACTCCAGCAGCTGCTATAAAATAGAAAAATGAAAATAAAATAAATCTAGTTTGCTGGCTAAAGAGAGAGCCGGGCAAAGAGGAGAACCTCCCCCTAGTCATCTTCCGGTTAGACACTTCTACCGTTCAAACAGCTTAGATCTTCTCACGGATTATTTACTCTCAGTTAAACTCGGGGATTTACTTCCTGCCTCAGGTACTCCGTGATGAACAGTCATGTAATATGGACCTGATTTCTTTCCTAAATGGCTATTTAACCCAAGTTTTCTGCTACACTCCCCAAATGAAGACAGAAAAACAGACAATGCCCAATTAAGTCCAAATAGAATGTCACGTGAGAAAGAAGAACCCGAAAACCTAAATGAAGCGATGAGGGCGTGTGGAGAGAGAAATGCTAAGAGGTTTTGTGACTCCAGTTCATACCTTTGTAGCCTGATGCTGCCTTCCACAAACGTGACAGAACTTGCAGCGGCGACAACACCAATTCTCCAGCTGGTCCTCCAGGGGGCGCTCGTTCTCCTCCAAACAGAACTTGTGGAAGGGCTCACAACAGACTTGGCAATACACAAACTAGGGGAAGATGGGAACACTTGTCCGGGAAGGGAGACACAGCAACTGAGCCCCACTTACACATTCTGTGTTTGGGTGTCCACTATATGCCCCCCGAGCAACGACCACATTGAAAGAGAAAACCCCCACAATATCTGGCTGCAGGAGACTCCCCAGAACTAAAGGTAATGGTAGAATATATAATGCAGCTAGATATGCCAAGGTCGATTTGCTCGAGCGGGCCCAGTAACGTCTCCATTGGAGACTTTGTTGTTACTGTGTTTGGCATATCCAATACTCTCGGTAGCTTGCCGGGCTCTCCGAGAGGGGCGGAGGAATCGAACTCGGGTTGGCCATATTGGCTGCGTGCAAGGCAAACACCCTACCACTGTGCTATCGCTCCAACCCCCTCTTTGGTGTTCTTACATTGAATGCTCATGGCTGTCACTGTCACTGTCCTCCCATTGTTCATCAATTTGCTCGAGCAGGCCCAGTAACGTCTCCATTGTGAGACTTGTTGTTACTGTGTTTGGCATATCGAATACGTCACAGGTAGCTTGCCAGGCTTTGCCAGGCGGGCAAGATACTCTCGGTAGCTTGGCGAGATACTCTCGGTAGGCTCTCCGAGAGGGGCGGAGGAATCGAACTCGGGTCGACCATGTTGGCTGCATGCAAGGCAAATGCCCTACCCACTCTGCTATCGCTCCAGCCCATAGGCCATAGTAATATACTGATAATACTCTCCTAATTTTATTAAGTATATTGTGGTTATACAAGAGCAGGTCCTTGGCTTTAGGAAATATATATTACTACTTATCTGCAACTTGATCTTTTAAGTTTTAAGGGGGAAAAAGGTGTTTCTAGGCCAGCATGAAAGAGTCCAGGGTCCCTTCCCTAGACATTGCCAGGAGTCAGGTAGAAGCCCTGCACAGGTGGGGTTGGCCCAAAACAAGCCCCCTTCTAAATAAGGTGTCGCTATATAGATTGTAACATTTTACTTCGTATTATGTAAAATATATGCAGACAAAGAAAGAATAAAGGGTGAACATTTAGGGAATTTGGGTGAAGGGTATAGAGAAAAATCTCTGTGGCATGCGTAAGTTTTCTGTACAAAATCAGGTCAACATAAAAAGTTTCTAAAAACTCCAATAAGTGGAGGAAAATTAAACAAGCACAAGCCCTGTGTGAGGAGTGGGTGCGATACAGGTGTCAGTCTGCAGGACCACTGTGTACAACTCCACATGAATTAAGTTACACCCTTTATGTCATGGAACGAAAACTATTCTATATCAGAAGTTGAACAGCTGGTGTTACAGAAGTGATTCCCGTGGAGTGTTTGGACAGATGCAAAGCTTTAGATGATCAAGGGAAAAGGACACAGTGGACCCCTGGCACTGTGTGCAGGTTATTTGTCTCGAAAGCAACTCTGGCCTTCAGAAAAAGACATTGCTTATCCAGGCACTAGGAAACAGCTGCTTACAGAAGGAGTACCGGGCGTTAGCATCTAGCCCGGTTAGTGAATAGTTTGATTTTAAACAGGTAGGACTTACTCTCTTAGCTAGTGAGTCTTTTTTTTACCCCACTGTTTAGGTCACACCTGGCAATGCTCAGGGGACCATATGGGATGCTGGGAATCGAACCCGGGTCGGCTGCGTGCAAGGCAAACGCCCTACCCGCTGTGCTATTGCTCCAGCCCCAGCTAGTGAGTCTTATGAGAGCTCAACATCCTAATGACAATCCTGCTCTGAATTTTCTGTCTGGTTTCCACGGTCTGTCATGATCGGTACTCAGAGGTACTCAGGACTGTAGAAATGAGGCGACACTGCTTACAATTTAGAACTGTGCTGCGTTCTCTCGCCCCTATTGTAAAAGGAGCACATACTGCAAAAGTCTCATAGAAAGAAAGAAAAATAAGGAGAAAACACGCATCAAACCCAATTTAAATAAGCTTTTAAAATGTTAGTGTAGATCCTTCCAGAATTTTTCTTCATACATAGTTTTGGTTTTGGCCATACCTGGCGGAGCTAAGGGGGCCAGAAGGGGTACCACGTCATTTGTGTGCAAGGCAAGTGCATGCTTGCTGTACTATCTCTCTGGCCCTCTTCATACATATTTTTAGTTTTCTAAACAAAAATCAGACCATGCCATTTTGTTTTGTGTTGGGGCCACACCTGGCAGTTTGGGGGCCACTCCCAGCTGTGCTCTGAGACCAGCCCCATGGTGCGCAGAGGACCTTGACTGGATCCAGGCTGCCCGCAAACAAGGAAGGTGCTCAGCCCTCTGTGCTCTCCTGGGCTCTTCCCAGTGGTCCTCCAACTGCTTTCTGAACTCAACAGTAGGTCACAGACATCTTTCCAAGGCAACAATACACCTTAAGGTTTGCCACCCATGCATAGCCTGTAAATGATTTTACTTAACCTTGGCGTCACCCCTTGTTGACAGACTTTTGGGTTATTTTTAGAATTTTATGTAAAACAATATTGGTGGGCCAGGGAAAGAGTTCAAAGTCTGGAGCGCATGCTCTGCATGCAGAAGCGCCGGGCTGGATCCTCAGCACTGCACAGTCGGGCCCTAGAGCAGAGCCGGGAGCAACCCCCAAGCTCAGAGCCAGGAGTGTGGCCCAAAGGCTGGCGCGGATGCCAAGCATGTGCGAGGCCTTGAGTTGGAGCCCCCACTCCAGATGGTTCCCCAAAATACTTTGTGCTTGGGAAACTACAAAAATCCTAAATTATGCATTTATTAAGGCTTATTGTAGAATAATAGGTATTACACATACAAACACAGCTGATTCATCTAATTATATCCTTAATATGGATACCTGGAATATGACTGCTTTATCAGAGGATCCATTTTAAAGATTTTATACATCTATCTATCTATCTATTTCCAAACGCCTTCAGAAAGAAATGTTGTAACTAGTTTCTATTTCTACCAACAGAAAGCCCCATTCAAGTAAAATCCTTTTGGCCAAGTTTTAATTTCTGATTTGGGGATCACCGGAAGACTACCTTTTGGGGGAAGGGGGCGGGGAAGAGTTCCCCTGGCAGTGCTCAGGGCTTAGTCCTGGCTCTGCACCCAGGGATCACTCGTAGAGGTGCTTGGGGGGCTATATGGGGTGCTGGGGATCGAACCCACATCACCCAGGTTCAAAGCAAGTGCCCTACCCACTGCACTATTGCTCTGGCCTTTCAGTGTAAGACTTAATCCCTCCCATGCCTCATGTTTTATTTCTCATATTGTGAACTGATATTTCTGTCTGTAATCTTCTCTTGTTCTTTTTTACTGGGAAATTAAGTTATTCTTCTTCCTTACTAATTGCTAAGATCATTTACAGATAAGGGGGCTTCAGTCTGCAATGTAAAATAATTATCAGCAGAATCACTTTTTCGAAAAGAACTCTTGTATTTTTTTCCAAGTGTGAGCAGCTAGCAGCAAAAAAACAGAACTCTTAATAAAGAAAGAAAGGCTGGAGCAATAGCACAGCAGGTAGGGCGTTTGCCTTGCACGTGGCCAACCTGGGTTTGATTTCCAGAATCCGATATGGTCCCCTGAGCACCGAGTATTCCTGAGTGCAGAGCCAGGAAGAACTCCTAAGCATCGCCGGGTGTGACCCAAAAAGCAAAAAAAAAAAAAAAAAAAAAAGCTAAAACAATAAAAAAATTAGATCATTAATCTGTTCACGCTTAGTAATCTTGTTACTTTAATAAGATGCAGATTCCTTCCTTGTAAAGCTTTAAAAACAACAAACAAGCCAAAAAACCAAAACTTCACAAGTCTATCTTTGACTTCTGCTTTAAACAGGAGCCAGTATCTGCTACACACCAACAAAAGAGAAAATAAAATTCTTCCCTCCATCACAGCAAAATGATCGACTGTTGTGTCCTCCAGGCAGCTGTGGGTGACTTACCTCCACATGCCCGCTACTGGCACAGAGGAAGCAAACCACCCTGGGTGTTATAGGAACAGAGGTCAGAATTCCTAAGCCTCCCATCTCCCACACGTTCTCTGCTTCACAATCCTCCTGTGGGAAGCAAGAAAGACCATTTAGGAACATTGAACAATGACCCACCTGTAGATTAAAAATATGGGGGAAAGTATGAAACTCAGAGTAACATCAGAACATCGAGAATATTTCATGCCAAGAAGCAAGGAAGAGCTTTCAATGTTTTACTCCCAGACACAAACTCTTACATGCTCACCTATTCCTTTCCCTTCTACCAACACTATCATGACAGTGGGGCTGAATCTCCCTCAGTGCTGTGAGGATTCAACATTCACCGCGGCCTGCGGCTGCTTCGTGAATGGTGCATGCGCTCAGTCTGTCCTCATCCACGGAGGGTGGGTGGGTTTCGGTGCCTTGTCTTCAGCCAGTTCCTAGGTAATGCCCCCACCGCCCCTGAGCACTGACCCCAGAGCTCACACACGCCTGAACCCACCTCACAGTAGTTCTTGTTCATTCCCCCACACTTGGCGATGAATTTCCTCTTCTAACACCTTGGGGTAACATCCTTCTCTTGATTTACAGCCCATGACACTCAACAAACTACATGGTCACTAGATACTTTTACCTTAAAGTCCACTCTGATCCTATGGACTCCATCTGCTGGGATTTTTTGCTTAGAACTATTGCCATTGGAGAGAGTACTGAGGATGTTCAAAGTACCTGCATTCTCCTGCTTACTGATCGGAGATGGTTTTTCCTATGAAGATAGAAGAGAGATAAAGAACAGAGACCACACCTGACTTGCCTTCACTTTTGCCACGGGTGATAGATATTGCAAATGAGAAATCATATCAACGGGTCTCAGGAACAGGCCAGGGAAAGGCGGGGCTCAGTGGCTGAGCACTTGCCTTGCGTGCACGTGCGAGACCCTAGTTCAGGCCCAGGTATCACACAGATTATATGAGACACTGGGAAAACATTTTCCCCCAATATAAATGTCCTAGAAGAACAATATTTTCGAGAGATCTTTCCCATCGATGTATTTACAAATCTGTATTACATCCCTAGAAAAAGAACGTCGAGATTTCTCTCACCAAGCCTTTCTGCTGTGGTGCCAGCTAGGGGTTCTCACTACAATAAATCAATAAATCAATAAATGCCAGGATGTGAGCAGGTTGTTCTACCATTCTTCTAGACCTTTGATTACATCTAAACCTAAATCAAATTAAGTAAAGGTAAAGAGTAAAGGCCCTCCCGTTGATCGTCGATTTGCTCGAGCGGGCCCAGTAACGTCTCCATTGGAGACTTTGTTGTTACTGTGTCTGGCATATCGAATACTCTCGGTAGCTTGCCGGGCTCTCCGAGAGGGCTGGAGCGATAGCACAGCGGTTAGGGCGTTTGCCTTACAAGCGGCCAACATGGCCGGCCCGAGTTCGATTCCTCCGCCCCTCTCGGAGAGCCCGGCAAGCTACCGAGAGTATTCGATATGCCAGACACAGTAACAACAAAGTCTCCAATGGAGACGTTACTGGGCCCGCTCGAGCAAATCGACGATCAATGGGAGGGCCTTTACCTTTACCTTTACCTAAATCAAATTAAAAAAGAAAAAAGTATTGTCGGCGCTGGAGCAATAGTACAGCGGGTAGGGCGTTTGCCTTGTGCATGGCTGAGCGGGATTTGATCCTCAGCATCCCATGTGGTCCCCACAGCATTGCCAGGAGTAATTCCTGAGTAGAGCCAGGAATAACCCCTGAGCATCACTGGGTGTGACCCAAAAAGGAAAAAAAAAGTCTTGTTTTGTTTTGGGGGAGGACCAGGTGTAGCAGTGCTGGCAGAACAAGGCAGTCCCTAGGGGCTCCCCAATGCAAAGCAAGAGCTCCTGCCCCTGAGCCATGCCCCGGGCCCAGAAGCCACTGCACCATCTCTTCCTTTCCCTTCTCTGACTCGATGTGCTGGGGAATCTAACCAGGGCCTCACACGTGCAAGGCAAGTGGTCCATTCACTCAGTTACATCCCCAGCCGAATGCATAGTTGTTTACCCAGCCTGTGAGGTTGACAATTTTCTTAGCTCTGTAATCATCACTGAGTTCAAATTCACCAACGCAACCATTTCTACTATGCACTGGCATTGGCTTCTCCTCTCAGCACTGCTGATGTTCTTCAGAGCATCAGCCAGGACATTCATAGGCGCTAGTATGGTGACACGGAGAGACGGTAGAAAGAGTCAGAAGAGTCTTAAACAGGGGCCTGAGTGACTGTACTGCAGGTAGAGCATATGCCTTGCACGCAGCCAACCCAGGTTCACTCCCCGGCATTACATATAGTCCTCCAAGCACAGCCAGGAGTAATTTCTGAGTGCAGAGCCAGGAGAAACTCCTGAGCATCGCTGGGTGTGATCCAAAAAGCAAAAAAAAAAAAAAAAAAGAGTCTTAAACACATTCTCTCTTTCTACATAATAGACACGAATAGAGGAAGTCCGGTGAATGGCTCCACTGGGAGAGAATCCACCTTGGCCGTGTGAGGGCCTGAATTCCACCCCCAGCACCACAAGCCTACCAGTGCCAGCATCCCAGTGTAACCCTGGGGGCCTCTCGGCCACCGACTGAAGGCCTGCGCACTGCCAGACGTGGCCCCACACAATCAATATAAAGACACAGTAGGGGCTGGAGCAATAGCACAGAGGTTAGGGCATTTGCCTTGCACGCAGCTGATCTGGGTTCAATTTCCAGCATCCCATATGGTCCCCTGAGCACCGCCAGGAGTAATTCCTGAGTGCAGAACCAGGAATAACCCCTGTGCATTGCCGGGTGTGACCCAAAAAGAAAAAAAAAAACACATTTGTTTGGGGCTGGAGCGATAGCACAGCGGGTAGGGCGTTCGCCTTGCATGCAGTCAACATGGTCGACACAGGTTCGATTCCCAGCATCCCATATGGTCCCCTGAGCACCGCCAGGAGTAATTCCTGAGTGCAAAGCCAGGAGTAACCCCTGTGCATAGCTGGGTGTGACCCAAAAAGAAAAAAAAAAGAGTGGACACAGTGATTGCTGTTGACAAACACTGCTAAAAGATGCTAGGGCAGAAAACAGTATGCCGAACAGCTTGAAGTATACGTACAAGCATGTAAGGCAGTAAGAACAGAAAGACTGGAGCACAGAGAGAGAAACATGATAAAAGTCCAAAGCCTGAAATCCGTTCATTTTTGGGTGGGCGGCCTCACCTGGCAGTACTTGGGGCTGCAGTCAGCTATGGGTTAGGGGCTGCTCCTGGCAGTGCTCAGGGGGATCATATGTTGGTGGGACCACACCAAGTCTTCTGCATGCAAAGCATGCACCCCTGCCCTGTATGCCATCTCCCCTGCTCCTGAAGTTGGCTGATTTTAAGATAACCACACTAGGGGGTGGAGCAATAGCCCAGCGGGTAGGGCATTTGCCTTGCACGCAGCTGACCCAGGTTCAATTCCCAGCATCCCATATGGTCCCCTGAGCACTGCCAGGAGTAATTCCTGAGTGCAGAGTCAGGAGTAAACCCCTGTGCATCACTGGGTGTGACCCAAAAACCAAAAAAAAAAAAAAAAGATAATCACACTATATTCATTCAATCACAGAAATGTCAAGGAAGTAGCACTATTTCCTGACAGAATCCAACATCCCTGAAATACTGCAGAGAAATGCATCTTTCCTCACCTTTTCTTTTGGTTTTTGTTTCACAGGGATACTTGGGCGTGGAGCCACTTTTTTCTGTTTGCTTTGTTCCGGACCTATCAAATTTCAAACAAGTTGCAGTCAGATGCCACTGGATTTTAAGTTCAGACCAAATGATTATTTTAAGACTAAAGGGCTGTGAAGAAAGGGGCATTTTATGTTTTTTTTTTAATTTATTTTTCCCCTTTATTTAAACACTGAAGTCTACAAAGTAGTTCGTGATGCATTTGCTACAGGAATTCAATATTCCAACCCCAGTCACACACCAGCATGACCTTCCCTCCACCAATGTCCAATTTTCCCAACTGCCAACCCTCCCCCCCACCCCTGCCCTGTTAGCAGGCACAAAACATATTTTTATCTTATATTGCCTGTTACAACTAAATGACTAACGGGATTATCAAAAAATACTTTGGTAAAAGAAAATGTGTGAAAGTTGCTGCATTTCACCATGGGGACAGTAAGGCCTTGTCTGAGCCTTCCATGTTAAATGTTTCTGTTTACTGAACTTGGTCAGCTTCTTCTGGCTGCTGGGGCTTGGGGAAATTCTGGTGGGGGGGGGGGGCGCTGCCCGCCACCACGCCGAGGAGACTGAAAGGGACATTTTAGAAATAAAAACAAAGGGGCTGGAGCAATAGCATAGCAGGTAGGGCGTTTGCCTTGCACGAGGCCGACCTGGGTTCGATTCCCAGCATCCCATGATGTCCCCTGAGCACTGCCAGGAGTAATCCTTGAGCATCACTGGGTGTGACCCAAAAAGCAAAGAAAAAAAAAGAAAAGAAATAAAAACAGAACCCGACATTCTAGGTATTGAACAGGAAACTGGAATAGTATCTCCAACTGAATGAAAACTTTGTTCCTATTTCTTTGTCATTTCATCCACAGCCTGATTTTCTTGAACCAAAAGCTGCTGCCTGCTTCCGGCTCACCTGGGTCAGGGGGTGGCGGCTGCTTTTTCTTGGGCTCGCTGGGAGCTGGCTTGGGAGTGTCCTTCCTGGGCGTCGAGGTGCTGGCCGGCTGTGCGGGGGGCGCGGGCGCAGGCTGCGACACCTGTTTGCTGGACTTCCTGGAAGCGGGAGTGGTCACCTGTTTGGGCTCCGGTGGCGGGGCCGGGGCGCTGCTTTCCTCGACTTTCTCCTCGGCCGCCTTGCGCGGAGGAGGGTCGCTATTGCTTTTCTTTGGGGCAGGGTCCTCCCTGGCCGTCGGGGGAGGTTTCGGACTAGGCTCCACCACGTTCTTCACAGCACCGCTGCTCTCTTTGCTCTCTTTCTTTTCACTGGCCTTGGACTTTTTCTCTTTCTTTTTCACAGCTAGGGGAAAGGACAAATTCATTTATCAGTATAACTCCTTTTTTTTTTTTGAGTTGGGGGTCAGGCAGGGGATTTGGGGCCACAGCTGGGGGTGCTCAGGGGACCATATGGAATGCTGGGGATCAGACCTGGGTGGGCCACATGTAAGGTGAGTGCCCTACCCCACTATACTATCTCTCCGGCCCCTTCTTTTGTATCTTTTATTTTATAGTGCTGGGGATCAAACATTGGGGGTCATATATGCAAGGCAAGCTGCCACTGAGCTGCATCCCTGGCCCAGAAATTTTTCATTTAATATAGTACCAAATTTTTTTAAAAAAGCATATAAAGGCTGGAGAAATAGTACAGGGAGTTAATGCACTTGCCTTGTATGTTACTGACCCCAGCACACCTTAAGATGCCCCCGGCATCCAGAATCATTCCTGAGCAGAATCAGGAATGGCTACTGAGCACTGCCAGATGTGGCCCAATAACCACCCCACCCCCATCACAGCCTGCCAGCAGGGAAACAAAAAAAACCCAGAAAGTAAGAGTAGGTCAGGGTGCACAGGTATACTTTCAAATTTTTTTTTAATTTTAAAGGGGCCAGAAAGATAGTACAGATATCTTGCATGTGTGTTATTGGGTCATATTCAGCAATGCTCACAGGTTCATAGGTGATTATAGGCTTAAAACTGGATCTCTAAGTCTTTTGTGATAAGAGAAGCATTTAAGGACCAAAGAATAGTACAGTGGGTAGGGTGCTTGCCTTGCACGTGGCTGACCCAGGTTCGATCTCCGGCATCCCACATGGTTCCCAAGCCCGCCAGGAGTGATCCCTGAGTGCAGAGCCAGGAGTAAGCCCTAAGCATCACCAGGTGTGGCCCAAAAACCATACCAAAACCAAAAACTCCCAGATGCCTCTTGGGGTGAATCCCTCTGCAATACTACCTTTCGCTTGCTTCTGAAGGTAGGCTTTGGAAGGCATCCATTGTAGATTCTGACATTTCCTCATCCTAGGGAAAAAGAAAATACCATAAACAAACTACATTTAGAAACAAAGCAATTAAAACCAGGGCTGATTTATATGTAAGAATCAGCGAAGCCTTATTCAGATTAATTTTGATAACTGAAAAACTATGAGCTCATACTCCAATTTGAATCTGATCCTCGGGGTCCTCTGATAGGCAATTTATACTATCTTTGAACCTAAGCAAATACACAGTTGTTTTTGAAGTACAATCAAATTTCTCTTAACCAGTACTGATCAGAACAGACCAAATGATCAGTTGATTTTCTTGTAGTTAACTATTCCTATAGTAATCTGAATTCAAAATGGACTAAAATTATTCAGCAAAGTCCTCTGCTGGCCACTACAGTGTTATAGGTCTATCCAGGCTCTCACAGACATCTCACCTCTCAACTTAACGAAATCCAAACTTGATTTACAAAAAAGAAATTGGGCTGAATCTAATTCAACCCTGAAATTCAGCACAATTTTCTCTCACTCTCAAATGCCTCCATATTGATCTGTGAATCATCTCACATAGCTCCACTAATGGAACTGAGACGAGCTTTAATTCTCGGATTATCTCCACTCAACTATCTCCCCTGAAGTAAACAGACCAGGAGTTCGTTCAACTCTACAGAAATCATTTTTAATGTAACTTATTCCTTTTGCAAATATCTGAGATCTCTTTGTATGCTAGGTTAAATATCAGATGATCAGTCACTAAAACGTCTTTGTGGAACTCTTGATCCATGCTGGACATAATCTCTGAGGATGGAAGGTACACCAATCAACTGATACTGAAAGGGGAGAAAAGGTCATCAGGACGCCATGGACCTGAAAATATTCCAAAGCAGACAGAGAGCAGCAGAGACACAGATCTCAACTTTGCTGTCTGAAAGCAATCCTGAGTGATTCTGCTCTAGTCAGTGTTTAGAGAGAAGCAGACATGGTGACCGCTAGGACCACAGGGCTATCGACACAGACCAGAATGAAACGCTAATCCAGTGCCTCACTAACCCCAATTCCGGGTCCAACAGGGACAGCTGTCACAGTCGCCTGAACGGAGGCGGAACCTCTCACCTCTTTGCCCTATCCAGGCTGTGCCCGCAGTAGCCCCCAAACCCAGCCAGCCTCCCAAAATCCAACCCTGCCACCAGGCTGGGAACGAGGCGGCTTGGTGCCACCAGGCAAGGCTCACGTGCACACGGCCCCAGGGACGACTCCCACTCACTTGCAGCACTGCTTCTTTATGTTGCGGCCACCAAACTTGGGTTTGTCTAAGCAGTTTGTACAGACACCACAGTCCTCAGGCACCTGGCAGCCAGGACACTGGCCACACCGCCTGGAGCGCCGCCCCTTCTTCACGGGAGGTTCCTGAGGTGCCTTGTTTCTGGTGACGGGTTTAATTGGTTTGATTGGGGGAGCAAGAGGTTCGGCATCCTCTGAGCCAGCAACTGATGACTTGTCTGTGAAAGGAATATGTCGTTAGTTCTCTGGGGAAAGATAACCCCCCTTCCTCGGAGCGGAGGAGATGCTCAAAATCCATTTACTTATTATGTATGTTCGAACCTCCAAAAACTAAAGCATACCTTCCTAAAAACACACATACCCAGATAAATGACTTGAAGCCCATTTCGGATACAAGCATTTCAATGGTTTAAGCGCTTATAACCTGCAGTTTGACGACCGCAGAAACTTCAAACACTTCAAAAAGACAATCTAAGGTCCTACAGGTAACTGCATGTTCCTGACGGTCCCCTCCGCTGTTGGCCTTCATGAACCGCGCCCCTGCCTTGAGGACCATAGTGGCCACCCTGGGAACACGACCAGGCTACAGGGTGACCCTGCCCTCTCCTGAATCGGGCTCCACCGAGGCCAGCGCCCTGGGAATCAGGCCCAGGCAGTGACAGAGTGTGATAGGGGCCCAGGGAGACACAGGACGAGGTGGCCTTTTGCTCCCTGTGCTGGGCCAAACTTCTCTCTGGAAGATGTGGCCCACCCGCCCTCTGCATTGTGCCCGCTCTCCCCATCGGCCCCAGCTGCCCCCACCATCTTCCCTCGGGACTTTCCTCCAATCAAACCCTCGACACACTCAAATTTTGTCGCGCCATCTGTTTTCTGGAGCACCCAGAGTCACACACAAAGCTCCGAGACTGTCCGGCACCTGTAGCATCCCCAGCGAGCAAACCGAATGGGAGTGGAGACTTCTGGGCAGCTCTCGTGACCTACCATCATTCCCCATGGAAGACAGAATCTTCTCTCGCTCTTCCCAGGGTAAGGCACTCAGGGTGGGCATGTCGTCAGGGAACACGGCTCGTTTCCGGCCAAGGGCCACAGCAGCTCTTCTGCAGACATGTTTGATCCGGGGTCCTCGCACAGAGGTCTCTGATGAATCACTCTCTTGACCCTGAGTATGAGGCGAGCCCCAGACAGACAGCAAGCATGCAGATTGAAAACACTAATTGAGTAAGGCCAAGTACAGCTCATTAACTGTTGACAGGCTAGACTCAACACGTTTAACTCTATTCCCAGCTGCTCGAGTAGTACAGAGGAGCCAATGACTACGGTATCCTAAAATTAGCGCCAAAAAGGCAGCTTCTAATAAAAACAAAAACAAAAACAAAACAAAACCAAAAAAAAAAAACAAAAACAGGAATGAAACTAGAGAGAAGGGTGCAAAGGGCGCGGGCATAAGCTTCGCCTGCAGAAGACCCAGGATAGCTCCTCTGCATCACATGGGCCCCCAGGACTGCTGTGAGCATCCCCCATCACCAAGATGAGGGTTGCCCCTTAGCACCACCAGCTATGGTCCAAACAAACAAAAATCACCTAAGCTTCTATTTCCAGTGATAATACTTTTAAAAATTTCCCTGAAGATACAAGCTCTAGATACCTATTCTCAGCAAATTCAGTCTAAATAGGAATCATCTAACTACAGAGTAGTTCCGATACTTCCCCAAGCCAGAGAACAGGTGAAGGAAATAATCTGTAGTTAGAAACAGAATGAAACTCCAAACAAAAATGCCTTTATATTTTAGAGAGCCACTGTAACTCTCTCTCCCTAGGAGATAACCAAAATCATGCCACATGGTATCAGAACTGTGTCCACAGTATCAGGCTAGAATACCCCTGGCAGCCTTACACTGCCAGGTGAAACATTAGAAACTTAGCTTTAGGGAGAGAGAGACAGCACAGCGGTAGGACACTTTTCTTGAACGTGAGTTCAAGTTGAGTTCGATTCTTGGCACCACATGTGGTCTCCTGAGCATCACCAGGGGTGATCCCTGAGCCCAGAACCTGGAGGAAACCCGAATACAGAGGGTACAGCCCAACAGCACCCCCCAAGACACACGCACACACACACACAAATAAAAAGAGTAAATAAAAACTTAGGTCTGTAGGCCAAGGGATAGCTCAGTGGCACATGCTCTGCACTCAGGCGGTTCGGGTGTGATCCTGGCACCTCAGGGTCTCCCCTGGGTGCCGCCAGGACTGACCTCTGAGCACAGAGCCACGAGCAGTTCCCAGTACCACCAGATGTGCCCCCAAACAAAAAGAAGTTAGGTAAGCTCCTTGACCAAACAAGATATTGTTATAAATATGCATCTACTGTGACAATTTAAAAAACAGTCTAACGATCAGAAGTTTTCTCTGAAAAAGGGCAGTGTCTAGATCAATCTGTTCCAAAGCATTGCTCTTGGGCCAGAGTGCTAGCATAGTGAGGAGGGCGCATGTCTTGCACGCACTCACCCGGGTTCAATCCCCGGTACCTCATATGGTCCCCATGCCAGGCAGGAATGATCCCTCAGTAGAGTCAGGAGTAAGCTCTGAGCACCACGAGGTGTGGTCCCCGAACAAAAACAAAACACACACACACACACACACACAGAGCAGTGTTCTTTGTAAAAACATCTGCCACGACCTTAAACTAAGTCAATTTTGCATCTCCGTCTCTCACCTGCATTTTCAAACAATTACTCTCCATTGCTCTCCCTCCTCCATGAAGGGAGAGAATGCACTGTCATTCGGCCCCTCCGTTTTCGACAGTTAACACGTGGGACATAATCTGACTACAAAATTTGGTCCCAGCTGCCGATACAGCAAACCCCATTAGGTAAGGACGCGCCGTAGTTTCCAATGTACCCCGTGGTCTCCCCTGCTTGGAATGGCCCCATTCCCCCCAGCCAGAACTCTGCCACGCCTTACAGGACCACTGTCGGCGGCGCCAACGGCCACTCCACAGTCTGACTCCTGCAACCCAGAGTCCAGGACACGGCTAACATCACAGGGAGGGCTGGACACACGAATTTTTCAAAGACAAATCGAAAAAGTACCTGTGCTTTGGGCTGGTCAGTCTGTTTAAGACTCTTGCTCTTCTCAATTTTGCAGAGCTGGGCTTTGGCCTTTTTTAGGAGGCTGGCAACCCTCTTGTCAGTCATTGGAAGCTTGTCTGCCTGAGCCAACATGGAGCCTATGGAGGAAGTGGAATGTTTAACAGTGCTAGATGAAGGAGTGGAAAGGCTGAGGGCTTTCTCCTTCTCCAGGGATGGGGCAGTTGGGCCGAGGTCCAGGTTGTTTTTTTCCAGATTTCCTCTCCCTTTCTTTATAAGAATTTTGGTTTTGACAGCTGTCGTATCCCCAAGAGTCACCGATGCAATATCAGTCCCAGAATCAAGTGATGAAGACTTCTTCCGCCCGGTTGCTTTTTTGGCAGAAGACGAAGTGGCCACATCTTCCCCCACGACCTTCTCTTTGGAAACCCGACCCACAGAATACAAAGCAGAGCTACTCTGAATCTCTGATCCCTTTTTCCTTTTCTCCTTCCTCGACTCCCGCTTATTCTCCTTCTCTCTCTCCCGGTCTCGCTCTCTACTCTTGTCCTTCTCCACGCCCTTGTCGGCATCGCGGTCTTTGGACAGCTCCTCGGGGGCCTTGTCTTTATTCCTCCCTCGTTCAGTCTGAGAGCCGGGGGTAAACCAAGGGAAGAGAGGCGACGGGCCGCTGGCCGAAAAGGGCTCTGCTGGAGCGCTGGTGGGCTTCCTGGCTCTCTGGCTTTTGTCTGTCGATTCCCCGGACTGACTCAGGGAATGAGAAGGAAAAGTAAAAGTTGGGTTTAAGGCACTAGTGGCAAGAGGACTAACAGAAATGCTTAAGGAGGAAGAGACGGAAGACGGCGGGGTGAGAGGCGAGAGCTCCGAAGTGCTAAGCCTTCCACTTCGCGTCCTCATGGAGTGAGAAGGAGACCTCGGTTCGGATCGGATGGGGCTGAACACTTTCCTTTTCCTTTTCCTGTTGGACACTCCTGACGAAGATGCTCCAGCAGAAGTTCGGTTACCAGGCAAGGTGACAGACTCAAAGATTCTGGAGTGCGCCTCGCTGGGCGTAAACCTCGGGGCTCTCAGGAGAGGGCTCCGTTTGTGCATATCAAACCGCGTCCCGGAGTGGAGTGGCGAGAACAAGCGGGCGGAAGCAGCAGTCCCCGACGGAGCAAAGCCCGGCGCGAAGCCCACATCCTCGGGCGTGAGCGGAGGGGGGCGGAAGTTATCAAATATTGGTTTGCGAATAAGACCTTCTTTGGCATACTTGGCTGAGGAAAAGTACTGTGGCTCTGACCTAGAATGCTTTAAGGAAGTCCACTTAAACGTCGGTTCTCGCAAAATAGATTTTCGCTTCCCTGGCAAGGGCGCCGCAGAAGCAGGCAAAAACGGTGATGCTAAAGGGATGGTCGGAGGCATGAGCCACGGCGTGTGGTCCGAGAGGCTGGAGGCCGGCTGCAGCGGCGGCGGCGGGGTGAGCAGGGGGGGCGGGGGCGAGGACGAAGTCGGCTGCGGGGGGGCGCTGGGCAGCGCGGACAGCTTCTTCGTCGTTCTCGAGCCGAAACTTCGCTCCGACACCGAGTACCTTCGGCTTCTCCTATCACTACCCTCGGTCTCGGGGGACGGGGCAATCGGCAGTGGCGGGTGGACTTCGGGGGTCTCGCTCCGCTCTTCAGGCAGTCCCTGGATCTCCTCTGAGGCCTGAGAGTCTATGGAGGTGTCCACGCTGGGGCTGCTGGACCGGGAGGAGTCTGAGGACATCTGGGAGGAGTGCTGGGAAGTGGCACTGGACTTCTCGGAAGAGCCACAGGACGTGGTGCTGAATCTGCTGTTGGGGGTGGACTCGAGCCGGGCGATTTTGATGGGTGGGTCATAATCCTCGTCCTCGATGAAGCGCCGCGGGGTCTTGATGATGCGCGAGGAGATGGCGCTGACCACGGGCATGATGAACTGCCGGATGTTCTTGACTTGCGTCTTCACCTTTCTGCCCTGCAGCTGCGCGGCCTCCTTCTCGATCTTCTTCTGGGCGCCCTTCTTGGCCCTCTGCAGGAGCTGCTTGGCGATGGTGGCATCTGTCCTTTTGGAAGAAGGAATGATCCTGACCGGCTTGATCCTGCGCGGGCTCTGCCTGACCACGGTCTTCTCCTCCCGGGGCAGCGGCGGGCTGCCCTCCTTGTCCCTGCGGACCTTCTGGGCCTTTTCCAGCTCCGCGTTCAGGAGCAGACCTGGAGGGGTCTTGATCCTTTCCGTCGACGGCGGCCGGCCTCGCCGGCGGACAATCTGGACCCCCTTCCTTCCTATTTGGAGCTTCCCTGTCTTAAACTTAGACTTGAGAGGAGACAGTTTACCTGCTCTGAGTTTTTTAATCTTTGTGGCCTGCTGAAAGGTAGCGGAGGGTGTCCGTTTGATTTTTTTCAGGCTCTCTTCTTTGCTTCCCTTGGGTAACTCTGAAATGTCCTTGCCGTGTGTGATTTTGATTTTGACGCCAGGGAAGGTGGGCGGTCTTCCTCTCTTCTTTTCTAGACTTTTGGAATCTTTCTTCTTGATTTTCTCTCCGGATTTGGTCTCTGATTTACTGAGAGGGGAAAACACGGACGGGTCTGAGAGGAGGGCTGAACTTCGGTCAGAGCTGCTTCTGGGTCTCCCGCGAGGTTTTCGAGGACTAGATTTAACTGCGTATAGAAATTAAACAATGAAGAGCATATATTTAGCTTTGCAGTCAGGCATTAACTAAGCTGAATATAATTCAGCACTAGCCATTTCGAACTGAACTCTATTTGGAGCTAATGAGTCCATAAAACATCTTAATTGTGCTTAGAATCTTTTCAACAAAATCTTGCCACAAAGAAATCAAGTAAATTACACTCCACCTAAAAGAACATTGAGTTCCTTTTTTTTTGATAGAAGAAAATAAGAGGTTTTCAACTGAGCAATTAAAAAGCAAAACTGATTTTCCTACAACTTCAGTTAGTTTTCTGAATTAAAAAAAAAATCTGTATTACCTTCCCAAACTTTCCTCGTCACAAAAGTGAACATTTGAGCACATGTTCATAGTATGTTAACCCATCCTTTATGACACAGATTTTGGTTTCAATAGATCTGAACAAAGTGTTCTTCAATCAATAACAATCCAATTTTGACAGGAATAGGTTTGTGGGCAGCTCAGCCTCCTCTATTTTCAGTTTTGCCAAGATAAACTAAAGAAGTTTTATTGCATAGAAACATCGCATTCATGAGATGCGAGAGTAAGGTCACTGACCTCTTGGTCTGTGTATTACTCAGTGAAGTGGCATGTGTCCACAAATCTGTCCCCTTTAACCTAGAGGTTCCGAGACCAGTCAGCTCCAGGTTACTGCTAATGTCAACAGTACATTGACAATTTACTAAATCAGATTTCTTCTATTCCAAATAAAAGAATATTCTAACCAATAGATTGGTCAAATTTGTACTCATTAGGAAATTCAAGAAAATAAGACTGTTTTCTAAAATTCTTTATACAACCTGTTTTTCTCAATATATTAAGGATTGTCTTGGAACTGGAGTGATAGTACAGCAGGTAGGGTATTTGCTTTGCATGAGGCCAACCTGGGGGTTTGATCCCTGGCACCCTATATAGTCCTGCAAGTCCACCAGAAGTGATCCCTGAATTCAGAGCCAGGAGTAAGCCCTGAACATCAGTAAGCTCTGAATAACCCCCCCCCCGCCCTGCCTCCCGCACAAAATAAAAAGAGCGTCTAATCTATCACATCATCTCTTCCTCATAACTTAGAATGTTTAAGTTCTCTGAGGCTGAAATTCCCTCTAATAGGCACCAAACAGATTAATGTCATAAAGATGAACATTTTAGATATTGGACCAACTTTCTAATGGAACAAAAATAAACAAAGGTCTTATTACTCAGCTTTCTAAATATAATACTGTCTTCACCAATTAACTTGAGATTTCCTCCCTTACTAGATAAGGATTCACAAATCCATTCTCAATAAATAATTACAACAGGACTAGGAGATAGCACAGAAACCATGTTTCTTTTTCTTTTTTTTTTTTTTTGCTTTTTGGGTTACACCCGGCGATGCTCAGGGGTTACTCCTGGTTCATGCACTCAGGAATCACTCCTCGTGGTGCTCAGGGGACCATAAGGGATGCTGGGAATCGAACCCAGGTTGGTCGCGTGCAAGGCAAACGCCCTACCCACTGTGCTATTGCTCCAGTCCAGAAACCATGTTTCATTTCTTGAAAACAAAAGCAACCACCATCAAAAAGTTTAAAATAACAAAGTGAACTTTGACCCAGAAGTGCATCCCAAGATTCCTTATCATCACGGTAGACTTTAACATGGCTACCAGAGGGCCATTATAATTCTGAAATTCTCTTCTATCCAACATGAAAAAAAAAATCAATGGTAGAAGGGTGGGGGATGGGAGCTGGGGTAGAGAAATAGTACAGGAATTAAGGTGCTTGCCTTGGGGCCAGAGCAATAGTACTGTGGGGAGGGCATTTGCCTTGCACACAGCTGACCTGGGTTCAATCCCTGGCATCCTTGATGGTTCCTGGAGCACCGCCAAGAGAAATTCCTGAGTGCAGAGCCAGGAGTAAGCCCTGAGCATCACCAGGTGTGACCCCCCCCCAAAAAAAGGGCTTGCAGCACTTTGGTCCCTGAACACTGCAAGGTGTAGTAGTGCTCAGGGAAAATAAAAAAGCAAAAATAACAAGTGAAAAAACCAAAATGCTTTGAGTGGATAAATGGAAAAAGCAAGAGAGTCTGCTCTGGTAACTTCTATAATTCACTCATTTAAATAACTCACCAGTCAATTATATGTAATTATTCATATTTTTCTGGGTGTTATTTTCTCTCTCAGTTATCAGATATTTCTATTATCACTATTCAATACCATATTTCTCTGCATTTATTATCACTGATTTTATATCAAATTTAAAAAAATGTTGGGGTGAGGAAGATTTAAAAAAATGTTGGGGTCAGGAAGATTTAAAAAAATGTTGGGGTACAGTAGGTAAGGTGCTGGCGGACTTACACCAAGCCGACCTGGTTAGACCCTAGGCACCACCAGGAATGACCACTGAGCACAGAACCAGGAGTAAGTCCTGAGCATGGATAGTTGTGGCACTAAGAAAAAAAAAAAAGGAAAGAAAGAAAAAGCTGGGTGTAAACACTATCCTAGTCTTTTACAGGGTTACCAGTATAATGTAAAAAAATTTCTGTGAAATGATTATGTGGAGGCAACAATTAAGCAATAAAATACAGTATGATGTTTCAGATTACATCACTTAGAGAATACGGTTACTGCTTAAATGGCAGACATTGGCATGCTACTGACAATACCAACATTTCCAAAAGAAAAAATTGTCCACTTACATGCACTTGAATTAGATTAACATGTGATGACTTAAAACCCAAAGTGCTAACAACATCGCAAACTAAGTTAATGTCAAATAGCAAAAATACACAAAGAACATGTTTAACTGGACTGTCTAGTCACATCAAATCAAAGAAAACCACACAAGAAATCAGAATGCAGCACAGCTGGGAAGCACTGCTTCCATCAAAGATCTACGCCTCTCATACAGAGAACAGAACTCTGCAAGCCAGTAATTGCTATTTCAATTGAGATCGAAGCTCTCAGTCTAGAAATCCAAGACATTCTAGATATTTTCTTGGTCAGCACAATTGCCGCTCATGAATGGAAATACTCCCACATCATTCTATCTTGCGGATTTTAATACAAACTTTCAAGGATGGGATTGCTGCATAAAGTATATTATTACCACCACCACCACAACTGGTGGTGCACAGGGGCTGCTTCTGGCTCTTCTGGCTCAGGGATCACTCCCAAGGGTGCTCAGGGAAACAAGTGGTATTAGAGGTGAAAGACCTGGCCTCCGGCAGGCAAAGCATGCACCTTGCCCTGGAGTTATCTCCCTGGTCCACTACAATAGTCTGTTTTCAGTCCTCTGACAACAGTAGATGGGATTTCATACATGAAAATCAATGGCCAAGGGCTGAGGACATGGCTCAGGTGACAGAACATAGGCCTTGCACATGTGAGGCACGGAGCTCAATCTCCACTGTCCCCCCAGCACCACTAGGTATGGTCCCATGTTCGCCAAGTATCACCAAGCCCAAGTGTTGCCCAAAGTATGCCCCCAAAAAGTAACGACAAAAGTATTCCCAGGATCATAAATACGGCCAAATCATTCAAAATACATAAAGTGGGGGTGCTGATCATAGTTACCTTCATCGGTCTACCTTGTTTTCCAACCACTCAATGGATATCTACCCCCTATGCCTCAAGGGCTCCAGAGAGAAGCATGAAAGCGAGTGGCCTGACAGAGAAAAGTCTCATCAAGGTCTAGTTCGTAAACCCTTTCCTACCTAAGCTGAGGGGAAAGGGGAAGAAGGCACAAGACCACCGGCATCCGAGACCCTCCTTTGCACACAAAAGACAGCAGGGCAGCCGCGATCTGAGCACAGACACAACTCCAAGGCCCCATGCGCTTAATTGGCCATACCTGAAGGAGACCTCGTGGGGCTTCGTACTCTGACTTCTTCATCTGAGCCAAAACCTAAGAACTGCTCATCCTACAACAAAGGAAAATTATTTTAAAATCAGAAACAAAAACACGAAATGTGAACATATCCCAAAGAAATGCCCCAAGGAGACACAATGAATTTGGAAAATTAGCCTCTATAATTTTAACCATCATTCCTATAGCCATTACATAATGACTAATATTGAAATAAACAAAACCCAGTCATACAGCTTCACTACAAATAGGAGCTGTCAAATTCATATTTGAACAATGCATTGAAATGTCATCTTTGGTGCACAGTATACAGGGGATAGTCCTAAATTTCAAACTAGAGATACAGCCCAAAATAATTCAAGTAAGCAAATCAGGACAATGGCAGAAATATACAACCCCATTAAGACAAATATTTTCAACAAGTAGTTAAGCCTACAGACACATAAGGAATAATATAAACAATATCATAAACTCTTGCCTACTAAATATTAATAGAGACTGAAATTGCCATAATCGTCAGTTCCTTAACTCAGGAATTGACATTCAGTTGTGATTTCTGTATATTTGAGATCCAGAGATTCTCAACATGCGTTTTATGTTGTCCTTTGAAAATGCCCCGTTATCACAGAGACTTAATGGTGGGCAGCAGTATTTGAGAAAGGGGTCAGGAGCTGAGCACAGAGGGTGACACGCAGTCACCAACAGCTCAGAAGCAGCAGACTGTCAGTGTCACTTAGAAAAGGCAAAAGGCAAAAATCTCCTTACCTCTAACTTTTTACCTACCCTTAAAAAACAGAAACAAAAACAAACCAAAAAAAAAAAAAACTTAAGCTTTCACCTATTGTGGACAAGTATTCAGGAAAGCTGCTCTATGTAAACAAACCCGAGTAGTAGAAAGTCATGATTCAGAGACCAAGTACTTTCCAGAGAGAGAGAGAGAGAGAGAGAGAGAGAGGAGAGAGAGAGAGAGAATTTCCCAATACTAGCAACAAAATCCACATAAAACAAGAACAAAAAGAGGCATGGAAAACAATGAACCTTAATTTAGACGAATAACCCCCAATCTAGGTTCCAGCAAGAGAGCTTTCCTCTCGAGAAAGGCCATATACAGGGTTGCATCTATGGGTTTTCTGAAGAAGCGCTTGTCCAGTTAGTTAAAAGCTGAGACAGATGCTTTATCTGCTTAGCTATCCTTAAACTGGAGTAGCTGAACAGGTACAACCTTTTAGACACATTGCTATGCCTGGCTCTTAACGGGAAACAGTTTTGAGAATCAAAACGTTATGGCGTTATGGCGGAGATTTTGCACACAATGTTACTGAGGGATATTCTTATTTGAATCTAAAAACGATTCTGTTCTGAGATTGCTGAAACTATTCATTGGGGCCCAGAGACAGAGTAAAGGCATATACCTGCCTGGCATATGGTCCCCCAAGGAGTAACCTCTTGCACAGAGGCATGAGTAACCCCAGATTATCACTTGGTGTGGTCCAAAAGCCTAGATAAAATTATATACCTATTTCAAAAAGATGTATTTACACAGTGTGTACTAAGATGCACATATGGCATTCGCCTTGCACATGGCTGACCCGGTATAGATCCCTGGCATCCCATATGATCCCCAAGCATCTCTAGGAATGTTTCCAGAGTACAATCAGGAGTAAACCCCTGAGCATCGCTCGGTGTGACAAACACACACACACACACACACACACACACACACACACACAAAGTATGTATGGGGCTGGAGTGATAGCACAGAGGGTAGGGTGTTTGCCTTGTACGTGGCTGAACCGGGTTCGATTCCCAGCATCCCATATGGTCCCCTAAGCACTGCCAGGAGTAATTCCTGAGTACAGAGCCAGGAGTAACCCCTGTGCATCACCAGATGTGACCCAAAAAGGAAAAAAAGGTATGTTCAATACCTAAGGTGTTCAATATCAATTTCATGAATATAAAGTAACTTTTATAGACTCTGCTTTCATCACTGAATACAATTTAAGATAAAATTTCATACTGTGAACACTATTTGTGAATAAGAAAAGTCAGGCTGGAGACCTAGCTCAATGGTCTGGAGCACATGCTTAGCATGCCAGAGGTCAGAGCTTAACTCCTGCTACCACAGTGTCTGAGCATTGAGCCAGGAGTAATCCCTGAGCACTGCCAGGTGTGACCCAAAAAATAAATTTCTCTCTTCATCTTAAAACAAATGAGGAGGTTCCTATAGCTTGTTACTCGAGGAGTTTCTCTGATCTGCAGAGCAGCCAAAACCACAAGGAGGAGCCAGAGCATCCTCTCCTGGGCTGGAAGCCGGTTCTACATGTTGCTTCGCAACTGCCTTTCCCACTGGTGATGGCCTTTCTCTTCCATCACCGGAAGAGGAGAGGGAGAGGAATCAGTTTGAGTGGTTTCTGAAAAAACAAAAACAAAAACAAGAACATACCGTTGCCAGTCTCAAATTTCTGAAGCAGTGTAGAATACCACCATGCATGTGTATGAGACCCTGGGTTCGATCCCCAGCACCACTGGAATAATTTCTATAGTTTATACTTATAAGTTATAACATTATCAAAATGGAAGCCCAAACTAACAAGACTCAAATTGTATGCGAATAACAAAAATTGCACATTAGTTGTCTTTTTCTTTTTTTTTTTTGTGAGGGGTGGGGGTGGTGGGGAACGACGGGCCATAGCTGATGGTGATCAGGTCAGGCGACTGTGCTGGGGTCACTCCCAGTGGAATCTGGGGGACCAGGCAGTGCCACAGATCAAACACAGACCACCTGCATGAGCTCCTGGATATTGAGCTATTGTTGATTTTTAAACTTAATTTTGGGCAGGAAACAAGAAGATATCTAGAAGTAATCCTAAAATATACGAAAGGGATAAGAAACCTGCCTTGCATGTAGCCTACCCCAGAGTGATCCACTGGAACCACATTTGATCCCTCAAGCACTGCCAAGTGTGATCCCTGACTACAAAACCAGGTGTAAACCCTAAGCACAGTTGGTGTGGCCCCCCCCACAAAAGCATGCTCCCCCAAAAAAGCACACATAATAGGCAATAGTAAATTGCCTCAATTTTTATTTAAAAAAAGGGGCTGAGTCTTAGAATTTTAGGAGTCAGCCCAAATACCCTCGTTAGCCAGGGATAGCACTGAGAATGGGATAGTTTGCAATCTCTGTTCTGGCACTTCTAAGTATGTGATATTATTGACATAGGTCACTTTTAATAACTTAATTCCTTTGAGTGATGTGATGATTATATAATTTATGTAAAATCTTTCAAAACTACAAGGCCATATCCATACTGTGGTACCATTACTGAGACAGCTTTAGAAACTGCAGTTCTGAGAGACCAAAGAATTTGCCTATACAGTCATTTACAAGGAACTTCCTACTCCAGTATTTAAAGTTATAAAGTAAAATCTATAGTACAAAATTTCCTATTCTCTCAGCTACTTTTTTTGGGGGGAGGGAGCTTTTTGGGTCACACCCGGTGATGTTCAGTGGTTACTCCTGGCTCTGCACTCAGGGATTACTCCTGGTAGTGCTCGGAAACCATATGGGGTGCTGGGAGTGGAACTCAGGTCAGCCACGTGCAAGGTAAAAGCCCTCCCTGCTGTCCTGGCTCCGGCCCTTTCCCAGCTACTTTTATTTATTTATTTTTATTGCTTTTGTTTGGGTTACACCTGGCGATACACAGGGGTTACTCCTGGCTCTGCACGCAGGAATTACCCCTGGCAGAGCTCAGGGGACCATATGGGATGCTGGGAATCAAACCCGGGCCGACCGTGTGCAAGGCAAACGCCCTACCTGTTGTGCTATTGCTCCAGCCCCTCCACCTACTTTTAAAATAACATAATACGGGGGTTGTAAAAATAGTTCAATGCTTGCCTTGTATATGGCCAACCTGAGTTCTATCCTAACACCCCATAAGGCTCACCCAAAATGCAGTCAAGAGTAAGACCTGTTGGGGGTTGGAGCAATAGTACAGCGGGTAGGGCGTTTGCCTCACACGTGGCTGACTTGGGCTAGATTCCAAGCATCCCATATGGTCCCCCGAGCACCGCCAGGAGTAATTCCTGAGTGCAAAGCCAGGAGTAACCCCTGAGCATAGCCGGGTATGACCCAAAAAGCAAAAAAAAAAGAGTAAGACCTGAGCACTGCCAGGTATACCCCAACCCCAATTCCCCCCAAAATTTTAGATCCTTAAATTTCTGATTTAGGGACCATGGAAGTAGCCCAGTGACAGAACATATACTTAAAACACCTGAGGTAAGATCTCTCTGGTACCTTTCCACAAAAAAAGTTTCATGTAATTATTATTTCATTATTTTTGAGGGGCGGTGGACACCCCAAGGTGCTCAGGGGACCATATGCAGGGCCAGGGATTGAACGAGGACCAACTACTTGCAAGGTAAGCGCCTTCACCTTTGATCTCTCTCTCTCTAGTTCCTGATTTAATTACTCTCTTCCTGCATTATTTATTCTCTTGGAAACAACCTGCTAATCTATATGCATTATCACGAAGCTACCTGGGGATTTCCCAGCACTCAGCAGAGAACTCCACAACTACATGCATGAATTTATGTTCTACATGGAGCAATGGCAGGAGGCAGCTCTGGCAGCCATACATGCATACACACACCAAGAGGTCAAGTGACCAAGCAGTTGCCTGGTAGCTGTTAGCTGAACAACTCTACTTTACCTCTAAACTACCAGGAAAGTCAAGAAAATTCAAGCTGGACCAGAAAGTTGTCTCACCGGACTGCAGCGTGGTCTTTGGGTCTGATCCTTAGCAATGCACGGCACCCCGGGCACTCCCTGGCACACCTTGCCTAGAGTCGCCCGCACATACTGCCACATGTGGTCCCCATACAGCCCAACAGGTCCAGAAAAGCAAGCAGAGAAGGCCCTGGGAAAGCTGCAAGCCACAGGCCTGCCTGAATGTGAGGGCTCCGGAAAGGGGTCGCGAACAAGGCCAGCGCGCTGGCATCCCAAGGATTCAGACTTGCCTTGAAATGAAAAGAACAAGGCGAATGTCTACAAAAACA